TCAAAATTAATACATTTATCAGCCAGAAAAAAAACCTTGGACTGAGGGAGATCTAGGTCAGGAGAAGTAACATGAGTGGCATTTTACAGGAGATGCTGCCTAACCAGCCCTGTACATTGCTGTCATTTTCACATGAAAGAGCTGAATGAAGAAGTCTCTGGATGGCTCTGTAACTCTGACAGCTACCACCTAAAAAAAAACTTAGTGGAAAATGAACAGAAAAAAGTTGTTGTCTTTTTTTTTAAATTGGGTCTTATCTACTAAACTTACATAAGTCAAGGAAATATTTTGTTCTACCAGGACAGCTAATGAAAGCATTCCTTAAATACTAACTGAACTGCAGTAAGTTAAAGTGCCTAGAGATGTGGATATTGAATTTTTACCCCTTCCTTCCCATCTGCCGGCTGCTCTGCTGTCATATTTTTTCCCCTCCTGCAGAAAGCACAGAGCTGGGAAAATCACAAATGCTTAATCGTGCCACTGCCGTTGAGCAGCAGAAAAAGATTGATGGGGAGGTTAATAAGTTGACTGTGCAATTCTAATGCTTACCATGTACCACCGCCAACGGTTAACGTGGTTATTTCCTGCTCCTCCGATCATTTCACTGCGCGTTCGACAAGTCAGCTCTGGGGCCAGGCGCTCTGCTCCCTGCCCGACCGTGCAGCGACACGGTGTCGGCCGTGAGCCACCTCTGCTGTGTGTTTGTACGAACCCCTTGACTCCCACTGCACTCGGCAAAGGCAGCTGAAGCTCTGCTAATGAGAAAAGGGGTAGATGGGAAATTTTATGCTGCCTTTTTCAGAATGTGCCAACAACTCTGAAGTAATCACGAATGAATTAAAGCTGAGGACAGCGAGTGATATTTTTCCCCCGTGGGTAAAGGCTATTTTTTTAGCTGCTTTTTCTGTCAGTTAGCACTCGCGTCTAAATGGTATGACACCCATCACACTGTTCTCAGTAAACTCTTCTGTCTCGAGTCTTACTCACTGTGAGTTAAGAGTAGATACCTTGACAAGTATCAGTACCTAATTATGACTTTCTGGATAGATATTACTAAAATTGTTGAATGACATTAATCAACACTGAAACCTTTTTGCCGTCCTGCAAATAGATGCCACAGATATGGTCTTATATGAGTGACGGTTGCAAATATGCCTATGGAACATTACAGAGTAATGATTTTGGTACAGAACTATTGTACAGATAGTCAATATTCCATCTGCCTTAATGATTAAGAATGAGTACTTCAAAGCTGGCATAAACTGCCCTCGATGTAGTTGATTGTACGTTGCTTTTCAGAGAAGAAAACTGGATTTCAGCCTGTTTGTTTAGAAAACATTTAAGTCAGCAGAGCTTATGGCATGGAGCTTGTTAGAGGGACCGAGGTACAATTTTCTGAGCAAGCAGCTGGCTGCTATTTGTTTCTGTAGTGCACATTTGTAGAAACATTTAAGGTGACATCAAAGAATATAGTCAGTTTCTTCCAAGGATTTCTCCTCTTAATGGGCAAAATGTAGGAAAGCTTTCAGTATTGGCTATCTGCTTTGGCCAAAGAGTTACAGTGTTAAGGCAATTTGCCTTTATTAACCCAGGCACACATGTTTCAAAGGATATTAAACACGTGTTTTGTATAGGTCCTTCTTGTATGAACAATTCTATCCTGTGTGAACAAGAAACCCTGAAGGTGGAGTTGTGAGGGAAAGCTGAATACTCTGATGGTACCATAAAGTCATGACATAAAACTAGAAAACTGAGAGCATAAATAATAGCTGCTGTTCCACGGAAAACAGATGCTACAAGGAGAAATAACATTGCTGAACCTTTAAGGTTATCACGCTTGGAAAAGGAAAAGCAGAGTAATTGCTGGGGTGACAAGTAGTGTAGACAAATAGTCCCAAGCAGGGATTTACCTGTGGCAGTCACAGGTGAAATTCCTCACTAAAGAATTATTCATGGCAATGAGCTGATTCAGTAAACTCTTAATCTGGTAAACACACGCTCAGACTTCATTAGCAGACAATTTTCTTGGGAACATAGTTATGCTAATGGTCATTTTGAGACAGAAAGCCGTCTCTGCCTATGATAAGAAGCAGGAGATTTGGGCCTGAGCTAAGGAGCAGTGAAGTTGCCCTCCCAGGTCCAGTCTCCAATCCTGTTATCTAGTTAACACCTTCCACTCACTGATAATTGTCATTACAGGGGTTGGCAGCAGTGGTGAGAATTAGAAAACCGGTTCAGCTGGGATATGTATTTAGCAAGAATCAAATGTTTAGAGAACCAGGAGAAGTGAAGCACAGAAATAAGTTGTGGAGAGGACAGCTGTTAATGAGCTGTTTAAACTAGCCAAAACTTCCTTCTTTAGTACTTCAAATACCACAGTAAATGTGAAATTAATTTAACTGCTTCATCTCCTGCAGTATCAGCACTGGCCTGGATGAGCTGAGGGGCTCAGCTTTCCCTATGTGGCATTAAAAAAATCATATTTGTGGGAGTTCAGAGAAGTAATCTATTTGAAATGAGAGCTCAGTTACTGGCAGTATCATCACTGTTTGTAACATTTCAGGGTACTCTGCTCTCTGTACTCAGACCTCTCCTTCAGCGATACAATTTTCTCTGGAAGTTATTCGGTCATTTTTATTATTTTTTATTTCTGAAGACAGCACTTAGCTGTTTAAATTTTGCCCCACATACCCATTCATCAGGTTATTTTACAATGAAAAACCTTGTTTTTGTCTTACTACAGTTAAACACTTTCATGTTTTGGTGCCTCTTTTGTTAGTAAACAAAGGCCTCTCATAAAATGTAGAAATCAAGACTTCCTAGCCATTCTGGCCATCTTTTTAAAAATGTGACTGATCCAGTGGTGATGATCCCAAGAAAGCCCAGTTTTCATTAAAGACTGGGTAACAGCCTGTAAAAAGCAAAGTGTTTACAAAGAATCCATATGTTGCACTGTATTATTGGTTGTGTGGGGTCTCGCCTGTGATTGCAGGTTCTGCTGCTTCCATCTGTGATTTACTTTAAAGATAATATTTACTGGGACAAACCCAGCTCCTTTGAGCATACAGACTTGATGAGAGGTTCAGTTGTGCACTTTACAGCTCAGTGTGAATCATGGCGTCAACGCATATAGGAACCTGTGCTATATATTTACTGTTTCCAAGGCAAAGTTGATTAGTCATCCCCCCTCAAATTATCCTCCTTTTGATGCAGGGCTTGTAGCACTTAGGTGTGCCATTGCAGAATCCCAGCAAGACTGTCCCTGTGCTGGTACACAAATAATTTGCGATATCCTCAATATTGACCTCTTCTCCTCTTGAGGCAACTGAGCAGGAGTTTAGCGGTGAGCTTTACCTCCTACTGTACTTCAGGATGTATTAATTTTGTAGCCTCAGGGAACCCTTGTTTTGGGGAGAACTCTGACTGGTGATGGGGTTAAGAGATGAGCTCTGGGAAGTGACTCCAGAGAATTTGATTAGTTCCTTGACTGGACAATAGACTCAGCTCCAGACATGTCATTCAAGGTGTAATTCTGTCATCCTTTCATAGGTGTCTTGTGCTGGTCAAGATACCATAGTGCATTTAAGTCCCCCAGACGGGACTGACAGATATGACATAGTGCCTGCAGGAGAGCCTTGACCTCCTGGCTTGGGTGCAAGATGTCAGGTGGACACCGACATGGGATTTATCTGTCTGCAGTGCAGTCACCTGCTTGTGAGCAGGACACCTTAGGCTATTTTAAAAGCCCAGAGCCAGTGGACTCATGAAATTTAACAAAGGCAAGTGCAGAGTTCTGCACCTGGGGAGGTACAACCCCATGCACCAGTACAGGTTAGGAGTTGACCTGCTGGAAACAGCTCCACGGAGAAGGACCTTGGAGTCCTGGTAGACAATAAGTTATCCATGGGACAGCAATGTGCCCTGGTGGCCAAGAGGGCCAATGGTATCCTGGGGTGCATTAACAAGAGTGTGACCAGCAGGTCAAGAGAGGTTATCCTCCCACTCTACTCTGCACTGGTGAGGTCTTATCTGGAGTATTGTGTCCAGTTCTGGGCTCCCCAGTTCAAGAGAAACAGGGAACTTTTGGAGAGACTCCAACAGAGGGCTATGAGAAGGGGCTGGAACAGCTCTTGTGTGAGGAAAGGCTGAGAGACCTGGGGCTGTTTAGTCTGGAGAAGAGAAGGCTGAGAGGGGACCTTATCAATGTCTATAAATATCTGAAAAGGGGCTGTCAGGAGGATGAAGCCAGTCTCTTTTCAGTAGTGCCCAGTGACAGGACGAGGGGCAATGGGCATAAACTGCAGCACAGGAAGTTCCACCTCAACGTGAGGAAAAACTTCTTTACTGTGAGGGTGACAGCACACTGGAACAGGCTGCCCAGAGAGTTTGTGGAGTCTCCTTCTCTGGAGACCTTCAAAACCCAACTGGACGCGTTCCTGTGCAACCTGGATGGTCCTGCCTTGGCAGGGGGGTTGGACCAGATGATCTTCAGAGATCCCTTCCAACCCCTACCATTCTGTGATTCTGTGAATTAGTGGGTTTAGGGCAAGATCCATCTCTTCTGTCTCCCAGATCTCACATCTGGGCAGATAACACACCTTAAAATCCTATGACTGCATTGACTATCTTTTCCTGGCTGTTACAGAGACCAGGCAACTATCTTGGAGACATATAACTCTACTTGAAGGCAACTAAAGGTGAGAAGAACCTACTCAATGTCCTTATGCCTTTGCTTTCACCCAGTAATTGTGGACAGTATTCCTTCCTTTTTCCCATCAATAACTCCCTACACATTTTATGTTCTAAATCCCTCCAGCAAGAGGTTTATTGTTACCCTTTTCTGCAGGTAACTGGCACAGCAGAGTGGTGGCCTACAGCTACTACTTCTGGACATTCAGAGGTTAATCACAGTGTGGGGGAGATATGCTGTCACCATTTGTTAAACTGTAGGAATTTGAATCTTATAGAAATATCACACCAGAAAATAACCACACATCTTCTAAAAAAAATTAAACCCTTTTTATTTGTATATTTATTTTTATATATAAAAGAAATACAAAAAAAAGAACACAAACAAAATGCTGATTATGGCAATTCAGTTTTGTCAGCCCCCTCTGCCTGGGCTGCTGCCTCAGATCCACCGGGAGTGAGCAAAGTCCTCCGGTTATAATGTCCTTTTATGATTCCAGAGTTATTGTTCTCATTAAGGATTTGCTTCTGTTTTTGCCTGTTAAGAGACTGTACAAGTCCTAATACAACAGCTGCTAATGAATACTGTCCAGTCAGTTTTCTTGGTTGTAAGATTAAAGGATTTGGTTGAACTCTTCCTAGAAGAAAATATGTTTTGATTTTTCCTTCCTGTTCACTGATACCTTTGACATAAATCTCTCCTCGGTAGTCGAAGGCAAATCCCCGGTCCTTCAGGATCAGATACGTTTCTTCAGGCACTTGTATTCTGTCACTAACACCTGTGCTGTCCATTCGACTTGCTAAATTAACCGTTTTGCCCCAGATATCATATTGGGGTTTCTTAGCGCCGATAACTCCTGCTACAACAGAGCCATGGCTAATCCCTATTAGAAAGAAATTAAAAGACATTGAGAAAAGATAGCCAGTTAGACAAGAATGGCTGAAAACCATATTTAAACCTAAGAACCAGATGAAGCCTTGTTCAGATGCAGTTATCTCTAAGCTCAAGGAAGACATGTGTACAGAAAGAAAGTAAGAAAAAAAAGCCAGAAAAGCTAGAAATCATGAAAACTGATATCCACAGAGTTATTTTACAGGACATCTGTCACAGTGGAACCTCAGTACTTACGTATCATCTGTCTTCTGCACAATATTGCCAAAGCTCCTGCAAATTGGAAAGATCTCTCTGGAAGGATCTTTCTGGGTCTACACTTGTTGAAGGCACCCTTGTTAGTGCTATGCAGTCAAGAAATTACATTCTTATATTCCATGAAGTCAAAATATTAATATGTTCTATGAAGTTATTGAAAGGCTGTATCTTGTAAGGTTGTTGCATAAATTCAAGACAAGCAATAATATAGAAGAGACTATTTCTACAGAAGTGATTGAAGAATACATTTATTGATAGTGAAAGTCACATCTTTGGGAAAAATTTCTTAGTTTTTTAGATTTTTTTTAGAATTTTTTTTGAAATAGTGATAGAAATGGTTTCCAAATGCTGTTGCATTCATGCTCTATGAAACCTTTGCTAGTGATCCACACTTACTAAGAGTGGATACGTGTTCCCTGAGAAATGTTGGGAACTGGTAGTTTTGTGTTCAAAACTATTAGGAAGTGCAAATCACAGTTATCCTGTGACCCTTCATGCTGTGACTCATGAATATACTTCAGCTTTTTTATGGCAAGGTTGTCCGTAAAGGACATATTTCTTCCAAGTGGTTTTTGGTTTTGGTCAGTGATCCAGTCAGCATGCGAAGACATCAGATTTGATCCTGCTATATGCTCTATATTCAGAACATCTTTTCATGTCCCATCCTACTAGCCATCCAGGATATCCCATCCAGGGTAACAGGTTCCCCATCACAGCAATTCAGAGCTGATGCCACTGGGACAGGTCAGATCAGAACTGGAATTCAATTTTTGTGCAAAACCAAAGTACTACACACAGGGCTTAGGGTAAGCTACTATTACCCCTTTAGTGAAGAAGAATCTAAGACAGGGAGATTAATTAGAGACTGTGAAAGCCAGTATCAAGCTTGGAGTTAGGCCCATTCAATGTTTGTGCTATACCTATGAGCTCTTGGCCAGATTTGTTAAAGACAGTAACTTGATTATGTTACCCATTCACAATTCACTAAAACTTAAAACTCCTGCAGTCCCCAAATTGGGGCCCATATTCTGCAAACAGAGTATTCCTTATTTCTAAATTTTCCTGGGATGAAGTGAATTTGAAAATAGAGGATGCAGTATTTGGAGTCTCTTAAATTGTACATGTCCTTGCAATGCTCCTGGGGTGCACTTACAGAGTCGGATCCTTGCAGACAAAACCAGATTTTAATTCTCATGTTTGAACTATGCTTACCAATACGGAGTTCAAAGTTGTTAAATGAATGCTTGTTGATCTCCTGTATGCTTTCATTCAGAGCTATGGAGAAGTCAGCCAGAGCACACAAATGCCCCCATTTGTCTTCACATTGCTGAGGAGTAAGTTATAAACCAATATGTTAGAAAATTTTGCATTTCTGAGTTCCCACCCATCCCCATCAAGTGCCAAGTATCTGAATCTGGAATTTGTACGAACAGCCTCAACACACTAGATCCAAGAGAGGCAGGATATTACTAATGGTAATCCTTCCCATTTATATTATAATGCTTGTATACTTAGAAACAGAGAGGCTTAGTGTGGAATACCAAAGACAGTAATTTCCTATCAATAATCTGACAGGCAATCATGGGAATTAATAAGGCATGTGAAATCTAAGGCTGAGAAAGAAAGTACAGAGAGGACTGAGACAGATTAGGTGGAAGAGACAAAGATTAATGAGAACGAGGGATAGCCCAGGTAAGCAAGAAGTAGAGCGACAGAAGTGAAAGATGTAATTCTCCTTTGCTGAAACTGTCACCCAGGAAAAGCAGCAATTCCAATGCTTTCAGGGGTGGAATAGTGACAGGAGCAACAAGGCAAGCCAGGCAACCTGGCACTGGTTAAGTGGGAGAGAGAATGTTATTTTGTAGTTTATTAATTGCCTCTTCTTACAGCAGTCAAGTCACTTCCCTTGGGCTCCCGTTCCTGCAGGGCAGTCAATATATAGATGGGGACCAGGAGTGGGTTTTGGTCTTCCCAGAACACCAACAGAGCAGATGGTGGGGCAGGGACTCTCAAGGGAGGACAGGGAACTCTCTAATTGTTTTTCTGAGTAGGCAGTGGAGTAAGGAACAGCCTTGGTTTTGGCCCGATACTGGTATGATGTCATCTCATCTATTCTGAAGCCAGGCAATTCTTTCATGAAACATATTTCCAGTCCAGAGGAATGAAGCATTGCAAAGCCCGCCCTGGGTCATGCAGGCCAGCCTTTTGCAATTTCATCATCTTCAGTGTTTAATCCTGAACATAAGCATCTCCATGGCATCACTCTGATCTGTTCACATTGTGCTCGGTCCTTGTCCTCAGCATCATACAGTTCACAGCCTGCCAACCTCCCTCAGCAGCCCTCACCTCTTAGATGCTGACAAGGTGATAGACATGTATGTAAGAAGATAAGTGTATTTAAAACATACATAAAAATTCCGTTAGGCTAGTTCAAGAAAAAGCATGAGTTAATCAGTCTTGGAAAGGCAGTAAAGATTTTCTCCCTTTGAATTTGTATTACTCACATCAAGAGTCAAAAGAAGTGGTTAGGAGCTGTGTAGCTATAACCAGCTACCTCCCTGATGTTCAGTCCTTCTTCACGCATTTCTGCACAGAAGTATTTTGAGTTGGAACAAACAAAAATCTCATGCATGTTTAGTTTTATGGATTTCTAGCTGTCAGCATCACTTGTTACTCTGTAGGTGGGAGATGCTCAGCTAGTTACACTCCACAGGTTTTATAATGTATTCTAAACAAACAATAGAAATTTTGTAGTTTATAAAGCTCACGCTGATCTGGCTTCTGCTTTTCTGGCAGTTGCAATCAACATGAGCAGATCTGATTTCTACTGTATGGTTGATCTGGGGACACACCCTTTTTTGTGGTGATCTTCCTTGGGGAGAGGCACCAGTTGCCAAGCAAGACGGATTTCAGCAACAGCCAACTTCTTGCTGGATGTATTTTAGAGCCTTGTCTTATTCCTTTGGAGACCCTGTTTCCAGGCATATTCTTGGGTGTAATTATGAATGGATTTCTCTCATCTGACTTATCTGAGGTTTATGGCTGTGACTGTGCATGTGTCCTCTGTGGCTGATGTTTCCCTCTGCTTGGTTTGCACCTCTGCAAGTGAGGGCAGAGTGCAGCTTCTGGCTTCGTGACCTTCTTCAGTTGAACTGATGGGTCTGCTTTCTTTTTGATGTATAGTTTATCTTGCTGTCTGTAGATATACAGCTACATCATGGCAAAAATGTATAAATGCAGCCTTACACTTGCATAAGTATGCTGTCAGTTAATAGATCCTCTCCACAGATCATTGGAGGCTGTCAGCCAGATTCCAGTCTGAGTTATAGTGGTAACTTTAGAGTATATCCGAAGATATAGACAGACCTGCTCTAAATTCACATCAGTGTGATTGAAAGGAGATTTTTTTCCTCTCCTATAAACCTATATTTAAGGAAAAAATCCATATGGTTCTTGTTCTGAGCACAAGATGACATTTTAATTCATCAAGAAGTACAACTGTAGTCTGCCAGAAGCCCCAAATGTCTATTTTCTTTTAGCAAACACAGCTCTATGAACATCATAAAGATAACACTAATATTCTCTAATATGAATGGTTAGACACACCAAGAGGTGTACTTCTTAAAGAAAACTATTCTCTTACCTGTTTTTCAGGTGATAATCCTGACACAGCCATGTATGTGCTGCCAATTGTTTTAATTTTTTCAATATCTTGAAATCTCTCTTCACCTAGTAACTAATACATACGTAAAAAACCACTGTTACTTCTGTAATTCTTAATGCAAAATGTTTCTACAGATATTACACTCATGGTATCTCCCGGTTGGCCATGGTACATAGTTCATTCTGCGTTCTGGGGAACACTAAGCAAAACACAAAACACTCTTTGCAATATTATCTACTTGGAGAGTGCATTCAAGCTAAATTCTGCTGTGCTCTGTAAAGCTGTTTGGTAAATCACATAAATGGATAGTAGAAGACATGCATATTCCAGCCTAATTTAAACGCAGTTGGGTCCTGAGTTTTGTGAACTATGATCATTGAAAATTAGTGGAGACAAACTCGCTGTGTATGTATATGTGAATATAAGATTTGATCACTTAGAAATGTTCTTACATCTCTTTTGGAGGAACTCAGTTTCCAAATTAAGTGCTGATACAGAAACAATTCAGGTGACAAGGCCAGTGTTAAAGGGAATTCAGTCCACTTAAAATAACCATTTTAACCATCTTGCACAGCCAATGGATGGAGGTAGATTCCTCCAAAGACTTTTATGAGAAATCAAGTTCTCCTGTATCCCACGATTCCCTTTATTTACTGTCAGACCTAACACTGGTATGTCCGTTGGGTCATTCAGTCTGCAGTTTTGTTATGTATTTCCCCCTTCTACAAAAAATACAGGGAACCAACGGGAACTGGTAAACACCTGTATCTATTTGGGATACCTATAGGTGTTAAGTAGGCATAAAGAACTTGTCAGATTGAGAATCTGCAAGAGGAAGAATAAATTTAGTCTAGTGACTGAAGCACTGAGTAGAGTGGGAGTGACAGTTTGGTCCCTACTCCAAGTCCATATTCACAGTTTAACTTAGGACTTCCATGAAATAGAAGCCAGAGCCTTACGTTCCTTGAGAGACCTAAGCAGAGTTCAGGCTGTGAATTCTATCGATGGCCATAGAGCTTTATGGGGGAAATGGGCACTTATCACCTCATCACAGGCTTTAAAAATGTATTGCTGATGTTAATATCAAAATAACCTGGGAAATTTCATGATAAGAAGTATGGTATCTAATAAATTCAGATATCAATATGGTTAGGAAGTCCTGGAAGCAAAAAAACCAACCAGCTCACAGAGAAAAAAAATTCAAACTTTCAGTTCTGAAGGCTCAATTTAGTTGGGAATTAAATGAAAAAAATTCTTGCTGTGGTCAGGCAAAAATTTAATGAAGCATTTCCCCCTTTTTTTTATACACTGTTGTGCGTTCTTTTTCCATCTTGTGGGTTTGAGTTTCCTGTCAATTAAAAACTAAAGGGATTATTTCATTCAAAGGGAGAAGCATACCAAAGGCATAACATGAAATATCCTCTGCCATTGAACTAACCACAGCGTACGTCAGCTGGAGCGCCGGCGTCTTGGAAGCTTTGCTGTTCATGTACAGATATTGCACCATCTGTCTCTAATGGGAGGCTGCACAGCCCTGCGTGCAGGGAATACAAAGCCATATGGTTAATGGCTCCCTTCCAAGTCAGGAAAGTCCAAAAACTTGACCTGCTTCTCATTTTTCTTCAAACTGCCAGAAAAGCCCATTATCTATGTTTCCCTCCTACAAGGGCAGCTCTTCCAACTGCTCTCTTAAAGAAAAAGATCATTTCTTGCAGCTCTTCTTTTGTGAGCAGTCTGAGAGCACCAGGTGTGTGGGAGAAAATGGTTTTAGTTAAAAACAGCCTATATTTTCATTGCCACATGGCTGTTGGAAGCAGCAGCAAACAGCACAGTAATTTAAAATGTATGATAAATACCTAAAATGACTCTTTAAGAAAGAAAGAACCTATTGGCTGTGAGGCAAATTAGAAGAAATAATCTCAAGCTATCTTTTTTTTTCTCATTCATTATTGCTTGCAAATCGCAATTTTTTTCCCTCTTTATCTTGTCTGCTAAATAGCTTCTTTCCTTCTTCAAATAACGGTTTATTTACCAATTACTTTCTTCACAGTATGACAGGATGATGGATTTTGATATTGGGGAAAGATATTCCAGCTCAGTCCTAAATCAGCTGCTATTTGTTACAACATTTTAAATAGGCTTGCTAATTTACCAAGATAGTCCAGGGAACATTTTCAAACACTAGAATGTGGTTGGTATCTGAAAAGCAGCTAGTGGCTTGATGCCTCAATTCATGTACAGCCAAGGTTATACAGAGGTCAGGCCCTGGGATCTACACATGCAATGAAACATGTACAAAGTACTACAAAAGAGAATGTTCCAGGACATGGCACACAAATGCAAAGTAATCAGTGAAGTCTGAAAGCAGGATCCTGCGTTCTGCCGAAATCTCTATTTGTGGCAACATAATATATTAAAATCTGTTATCATAAACACCATGTAAATCACTGCAGGATGAAGAAAATGGGGGGAAAAAGAGCTCATGAACTATAAAGCTCTTATTAAAGCACAAATCCCAACTGTAAAATCACTAGGATACATAAATGATAGATTAAAAAGGCTAGAAAGAATATTACATTAAAAAAAATCCTTTGAGAGTCATAATCTTCAGGAGAAATGTTCCAATATAATTTTTTTCTTGCAACATCTCTAAGAATGGGAGTTTAGTCCTGTATGTGTCTTAAGACTACAGTCATATTAAAATGGGTAATTATAAAAGTAGATTTGCAATGTTCATGTTTGTTTTTTCATGTATGAACTGTTCCTGTCAGCACCTCTGTGCTTGGGTATAAATTAGGAAACTATAACTGTATTCTATAATAACACTATATGTCAAATTAAAAAAAAAAAAAAAAAATCTCCTTTTGCCAGTCCAGAAATCAACACTTCCCATTCTGCCTCAGTTGACAGGTAGCCTGGGTAGTTTGGAAATCAACAGATTTGTGAGCCATCAGGGGAAAGAAAAACCAATCTGTGCTTTGAGAAGAGTCAATCTCCTACCCTCCAAGACCGACTTTTGGACCAGGTTCCTCCGACTCCCTAAGAAAGACCCAGTCACAACCTGACTCCTCTCTGGGCTCCTACCCCATGCAGCTGGTGGTGTCAGATTCTGTTCCACTGTTCACTATTTTTTGTTTGACTGGCTTTGTCTCTCTAACATAGATCCATTACCTGGAAAACAAAATAACAGATCTGGATTGTAAGCCTCTGCTTTGTAGTAACAAGGAAACTCCTCTAAAAAGAAGAAAGAAATAACCCAGGTCTCCTTCTTGCGCACCTATCACATTTTCCAAACCAGGTCAATTTGTATTTTTACCACTGCTTTCATTCAGAAGCACCTTCCTGGCCCTATGGACAGAGTATCGCTGCTACTATTATCTATCTAAGAGGAGGAGGGGACTCACAGTGTAGAAACTGGCTTGAGATTAGGAACTCAAATTCAGTTGTCTAAACACAGATGTCTAGTGTCATCTAGAGCATCCTTTCCTGAAAAACCTCCAATGGCTTGCTCCAGAGCAGCATGAGTTTTCTGACGGTGCAGTATGGGACCTGACGATCCCGTGTGGGTGTCTCAAATCAGCCAGGATATCTCAAATGGCACCAGACACCCATGTCTTACACTCCTGTGCTAAGGCTTCTGTATTTGGGTATCTCTACGGAGGTGTTCATGTGATTCTGCTCTCAAGCTGCACATCTGCATTTTGCTTCCAGGGCTGTACTGAGACAGCGGGCAATCTTGGCAAGAAACGTCACGGAAAACAAGGAATAGTGTCATCGTGTAGTCTCAGTCAATAGTTACATGGAAACATTGCTGGCCCTGAAGCATCGTACCTGAAATGACTTCTGGTTCCTTTTCCATGGGTAGGATTACTCGCTGCAGTTGTTCTGTCTGGCATATCGGCTTTCAGGTTGCTTAGACAGAATAAACTAATGGCATGACTATGCTGGGAGTAGGTTAGCAGTCAGCAGGGGATCACAAAATTTCATTTACTACCCGTACCAAGAACATACCTATTATTCAACTAAACATGTCTGGGACATAATACAATCCCTAATTAGGTCCTTTATTAATTACAGAGCAGGTGTTAGGGGCCTGAATGTAATACTGTGTTAGGGCTTTTGATGAAAAACTTCTCTTCGGTAATCACCACGGCAGAAATGGAATTTTGTTGTGAAGATTATATGAGCGTGCATGACAAAATATCTTAAATTAATTCATAGCAATAGGCTTTGCGTTAAGTTTGAACCATAATCATTTTAATCAGATCTGGAAAGAAAAACAAAACTATTAATCAAGAAGCATGTTGACAACTGTGCAAGATCTCAGAGGTAAGAAGCAGGTATTTATACCTATAGGGAAAGCCGTGCAGGAGCTTTGCATGTTACAGAGCTCTTCTCATGGGAGAGTAGTTCTGTTCTCTACCAAAATGCACAGGGATGCATCCCCTGTGAATTCTTTTATTTCCCACTAGTAATTTCAGTATCTGACCAATTATGTGGTTAAACTCTCAATTTCATTGTCTCTCAGTTTGGTAATCTTAACACCGGTCAGGTTTTTATGAGCTACCACTCTATGAACATTCCCCATGCAGATGCCTAAGATGAGGAAAGATGAAAACACAGTTAAGACCCTAATCTGGCATGGGATCAGGTATCTTAATTTAAAAAAAAATGCAGGAAAGTCACTTACTCCTTTGTGCCTTTGTTTTCAACCTATGCAATGAAAATAACAAAACCTCCAGAGGAGCAAATTGAAAATAAATTTTTCAAAACTTGTGAGAGGCCTTAGGTACTTGCTGCTCAGAATGGAATAATAAAAAAACACCAAACTTTTTATTTCCTAATCTCTTTTTTCAGTCGTGTGTCTTCCACTTTCATCTTTTCCTCTAGTACCTTCCTCTGAAGCCCTTGGAGATACTTGCTCTTCGAAGCAAAAAACCAAAACCAAAACAAAGACTTTAGGCTAGATCCTCAAAGAAAGAAAGGTTTTTAAAGTAGGACTGAGGCAGAATTAAAATACTTTAAACAAAAAGACACTGATTCTTAAATCTTCATTCAGTTGTATTCTAAACCCTGGGGGGGTCTGAACTCTGCCAATACTTTAGTTTTCTGGAAAAAAGTTTTCTGTATGCTCAATTTATGGCAGAATCCTGGTCCAGATGCAAAGTATGTTAAGTATGCCTTCTCGTCTTCTCTCAAAAACTCAATCTTTTGCACTCTGATAATGCTTTTTGAGTTGAGAGCCAAAGTGGTAAAAGATGATCTCTTTTTTCAAACCACAATCTTTCTCCTTTCTCTGTTTTAGACAATTGTTCCATGGTTACATAGCTCATGTGGGATGTGAGATCCAGATCCAGATCCATCTCCTTTTGAGGGTACAAATTCTGTTTTCTTGAACTGCATCTTAATTTTAAGCTGACAAGACACTCAACACTTGTTCCTTGGGATAAACAGGGTATTCTTGGGCAGGATTTTTTACTGTTTCTCAATGATTTCTTGCTATCCATGTGCCCTCTCCCCTGTTGTCTGGTTTAGTACTAATCTTGCCTTGCTCATTAGATTTCTGAAAAAGATGTCTTTTTCCCACTTCTTTTTTAAATAACTTCTCCAAAAACAGGATCACAGACCGACAATACCACCACCAGCTCCCCCTTTTCTATCAGGACCATTCCAGTCTAGCACACAGATCTAATTCCACTGTTAAGTAGAGATGTCTCAGATTCTACTACTACCACTCAGGGAGCTCAGGAGGGCTACACACTCCTGAAAACTGATTGCAGTGTATAGGTGAAAATTCCCCAGGCTAGGTAATTTTGGCCTTACCTTTGCACTGTTCCTAGTTTTAAATTTTTTTCAAGTCTCTTCATTGGTCTATCCTTTGTAGCTTTTCTAATTCCTCTTGGAATCATTGCAGGACATGATACTACCTGTCTAAGCTTCCTTACTAACTAGTTGTCAGAGTATGCAATACCAAGTATGCAACTTGCTCCTGGCTTCCTCTTCGCTTTTCAGGTTTTCCTTGCTTCCACCTGGCAATAGCTACACTGGGGATCTGACTTTTCTTCTCCTGTTTATGTTATCTCCTCCTCAGCTCCTTTCTGAAATTAACTGGACCTAAATAAATTCTTTTTCCTTTCTATGTAATTTCCTTTTTTTTTTTTTTTAATTTCCCTTCACCTCTGAATTTCTCAGTAAGCAGCTTTACTTCATTTACTTCGTTACACACAACATACCTGACCAGACAAGTCTCCTCAGATAGTATGTTACCACCTTCCATCCTCTACCTAATATTTGCTTCTGAGCTCTGTGCTTCACATCTAACTTGACACTGTTTCATCTCTAACATTCATTGAATCCATTCAACCAGTGTCTTTAACAAGACAACGTCTTAAACTTAAATTAAACATTAAAACAACTTCTTTATCTGTTTGGATTTGGACCGCTACTTTCCAGAACTGTTGCAAATATCTTCATTCTTCTTTCTTCTACAGAAATAAAGCATGTGCTACTTCTAGATACACTGCAGCAGATTGTGCTTTTATTTATGCATGGTTATAGTCAATTAACTGTTGATTTCAATCTCTATCTCACTAGGTCATTCAGACCACAGTTTGGCAAGACTAGGTGCAAAAAAAGCAAAATAGACAATCGCAGATGGAGTAAAAAAATCAGACACTTATTGGAAGCAGAGTAGTTACTAAATTTGATAGTTTAGGCTGACGTATTCAGTATTTGGGAACTCATCATTTAAGCACTATCAGATTTTCTCTAGTAGCTGGTATTACCTCATCAAAATCCGCAATGATTTCATTCAGCAAGCGCAGACATTCCACTCCTTGGTTATTCATCTCGGTCTGGGAATAGAAGTCAGCAAATCCAGGAATAGAAGCAAACATCACACCAACAGCATCATAGGACTGAGAGTATAATTCCTAAAAGAACAGTGAAGAAAAATGCGTTGAAGTGGTAGTATAGGAAAGAGAGCGTAACCGGCTACATTAAAATATTTTTTTTTCCATGCATCACACCGTAATATCTGAGGTTAACATTAGTATATGAAGTATTAGCCAAGTTCAGTGAAGAGGTTGACAGTTCTCATATATTTATCATGGCTTATATGCAAGGTTTGTCTTTTCTTTGAAAGCCTGCTCTTTCTGTTTCTGAGGTCAGGGAGCTACACCAGGAAGTATGAAATGGAATTTTTCATTTTGATTTATATGGGGAATCACTTGAAGAAAGGAAGGATTCATTTACAAGTATGAATACCAGAGAATCAAACACTGTTAGGCAAGTAAAAGGAACCTAATGTTTATTATTTATTATTAGTTAAGTCTGTCTCATAATTGTTCGCAGTTGACAATATATTTCTAAATTTGTTCATTAACGGATCAGATGGGACCGTTTAAAATGCCTAAGTGACCTCTTTGTAAAGTGTCCTCTCAGTTACCACATTTTCTGGTGGATAATTTATACTTCACACTACTGCAGCTGTTTACAAGTTTGTTTATTCAGAGGTTTTCAGAGTGCCCTTACTCTGTGGTAAATTGTAGTTCTCCTAAGGTGACTATGGAGCTGTTTGGTTGACTGGCTCTGGGAGAGGTTCCTGCTATTAGGGTTTGAAAGGACGGAGAAACAGAAATGAGGGTGATAATGGAGTTACTGGGGACAGAAAGCAGCTTATAAGGGATAGGACACAGGAGGCTATTAGGATAAAGTATGCCCCGGGATAAGCTTCCACTTATGTTATTCATATATTCACTTCGGTACTGAATGACAGATTTATTTATGGATGGATTCTCTTCATTGTATATGTGAAAACGCGATCAGTTCTTCTCTGAACCCAAACAAATTTTTAGGAACAAAACTTACTTCAACTTTAAAAATACCAAGGACAGACCCCCCTTCCCAACTCTTGGTAAGCGTTTCTAGTGGCTAATGTACCACAACCATATGCATTCTTTTTTGTTGAATTATTTTCTAGCTTCAATTTCTGTAATTTTACCCAATGGCAGATACTTTCATTTCTGTTCTGGGACTTCTCTTATGACATTCTTACCTGGAGTAGTTGATTCCTGTTAGTGTACTTCAGGAAATTTTAATGCTTTGCTCTCATGATAAAAGGACTTACTGCTGGACGCCACACATCTGATATGAATAACTCGGGTTCCTCTTCTCCTTTGATCCTGCCTCTCCCTAGAAAAGCACCCTGAATCCCTGCCCTGCATTTTGCTGTGCTGCCAATGCTGCTTCTTATCTAGACTCTTTAACAACGCATCCTACAGTAAAAGTGGGAAAATTCTGTTAGTTTCCAAGGACATTGCAAAACTTTGATTGATTGAGAAAAAACATGACTGATTCCCTTCCTGCCCTTACACTTTCTTTCACTGAAGAACATCTGCAGGGTCATGGAAGCCATGCTATAAGGACAGTCTTATTCCCCTTCATAGGTACAGAAAAAAGTAATGGACACATTAGTTTGTAGATGCTTATGGAAAACTAGACAATATGCACTAGGGGAAGCATATATACACTCAGGCGTACTCTTTCCTCAGATCATGAAGATAGAAAACAACTGGCTGAGCCTTAAGTTGCTCAGTTTTTCTATTTTTGGGAAGAAGCATCAAGACAGAAATAATACATCCATGAGAAAACACTTACAGTACGTATTTGGGAATTCATTTTTTGAGAGCAGAGAAATTAACTTAATGGACAGACATGGACTGTAGGATTGATTGTCCTGAAATGTAGTAGATGTTACAGCCGGCCGGCTCATGCATAAATCACCCCCAAGTATAGTCACTCTGGAAATTGCCTTACAGAAAACAGGGTTGGTGGAATTGAATTCAGTGGCAAATTATCGAAACATCAACAGTGATCCATGGCGCATTTGTTTACTTTTCAAGATTATTATGCATGTGAGTGTATGTGAATGAATGTGTGAGACACGACATGTATTCCCTGAAAATCCATAATGCAGATATGCCAGAACACACTGTTGTTGGTATCGGACTCTGCTCCATTTGCAATGAAGCATTTTAACCCGGTTGCTTTCACACAGGCATCTTCTCATGTTCAGAGCAGTGCTTTTATGGCAGTTTAATACCCATAGACTGTAAAATTCCTCAAGAGGCTGATTTCTAAAGTGCCTTTCTTTGTAGCTTCTCACTAGGTGATATTTGGAATGACATCTTCAGAACACAATGATTCCTCATTGTGCAGTCTAATTTGTCTCGCTACATCTATTTCCAAAACGTACAGTCAGAAAAGGGTAGCCTTGACTCCTTTTTGCTGCACAATGAATGGATATGTCTGTGCTGGCAACCTGAATCTTGCAACATTTGTCACCACTTCATTATAAAATATAATTCCAACATTACATGAGAAAATTCCAGTTTCATTATACAATAGCCTTTATTCACAGGTAATATTATAATATGCATCTACCTTATTTCAGATAAGGAGTAAGTGACTTACTACTGCTTCCAGAAACAAATGCTGGCCTTTCCTTTATCCCGTCAGCGACCTGTCTTCAAGCTCTCTTTTAGGAGTGTCCAGGGACCCCATTATCAAGGTTTTTTTTGTGTACTACACTATTTAGGAATACAGCCACAAACTATGTTTCTGAAATGGGTATTTTTTTTAAACTGCCTTAAAGAGGCAATTCAGGGGCAATATGAAATGGCAAAAATGTTCTCTTGGATCTGAAGATGCAAGAGTCTCTGGTCTGTTGCAGCCTGTTGTGCAGATTCCTTCCATAATAACTAGCAGGGCTGTGATAATACTTCTACAACACTGGGCTATTTTAAGGTTGCACAGGCATTCTGTTAAATTTGTTTATCTTTTTTGGGAATACTAGATTTTCATAGACTTGGAGGCTGGAAAGGACCTCTGAAGGTCACCTAATACAGTTTCCACTCAAAGCAGGGCCAATTAGGTCAAGTCTTTCATGGCCTTGTTCAGTTGAGGGTTGAATATCTCCAGGACTGGAGATTTCACAATCTTTCTGAGCTCTGATGCGATGGCCACTTTCCCAGGGATTTTTTCTTTTCTTGTATCTAACTCGGATTTTTCTTCCTGCAACTTGTGTTGTTGCCTCTTGTCCTTCCACTTGCATGCTGGAGAAGTTTATTCTTCCCTATAAACACCCATTAGGTAGTTGAAGACAACGAGGTCCTCTTTCAGCCTTTTCCTCTTAAGGTTGAATGAACCCAGCTCTCTCAGCCTCTCCTCATATGTCATGTGGCTCTTGGTGGCCTTGGTGGCCACCAATCATCTTGGTGGCCCTCCATTAGACTTGATCTGGGAGGTTCATGTGTCTCATACAGGTGAGCCTCAACCTGGAAATACCATTCCAGATGTTGTCCTAGAAGTGCAGAACCCTTTATTTTAAAACATGAAAGTTTTTTTAATGTGGATTATTTACCAAATATTGTAAGTATTTGTGTAATGAATCCTATCAAGACCTCAGCTGTAACAATTTCCTAACAGATCTGATTTTAATATGCTACTTAAACAAAAGTATCAGAAATAAAATTGATACATACTTCATTATCCCGATCCTTCTCCAGGAAGTGACGGGCGACATGACTGGGTAAAATATTCCGTAGCATATTTTCATTGTGCTCCCTTAACTCCTTCATTTCATTGATTTCTTCTTTTGCTTGGACACGCCACAGGAAATCCAACCTTGCTGTGTATTCAAGCTGTAGTTCCACAAAGGAAAAAAAGGCAAAAATAAAACTTGGTAAGAGTAGACATTGTATTGTCGTCCTGGCTGCTCCTGCCATGTAACCACCTTCAGTGCTGCTGAAGATCTTTGACTCAGGAAGAATTTGATTTCATTGCCAGAAGAAGAGATTATTTCTTTGCCTTGTGTATGGTGAGTTTCTCAGAGGAATCTTGGGCAAAATAATATCTGTCATATTACTGCTATGGTCAGTGGCTAGAAAATGTCACAAAAGTATTTTCCTTTTAAGCACTTCTTTATTAGATAACAGAGTCAGACAGGAGATAAGGTATTGGAAGGTATTTGTATTGGTATGAAATAAAGATGTTCCCCTTTTCATATGTGTTTTCAAATGAAATGGGTTTCATGAGAAAACAGCTTAAGGGTCATTCTAAACACTTTTCAGAGACAGGCGGTTTACTTCTCAAGGATTACCATCTTTCAGCAAAATTATATATAACGGCACAACACAGTACCAAAGATGACTTTCAAATCTGTGGCACCAAAATGGGGTATTTCTACTGCTGGAACATGCAGTTCTTTGCAATTTAAGTCACTTACACGATAGTGAAAGACATGCTATTTTATACTCCCTCGAATAACGTCCCTTGATGTACTGTGGATCCAGAGTCTGCAGTCACAATTTGGTATGTGCACTGTGGCAGTGCCTGATATCCCCAACTACAAACCAAAGTTAAATGTTTTCCAGGGCTGTATGCATACAGAATAAAAGGAGTTTTCCTGTACAGCACAGTGTATATATGCATATATATGTATTATGTATTTGTATATATATGCACACATATAAATCCATATTCATATATACATAAATGTCAGCTGTCTGCTAGCTGAAGTGGGGAACATGTCAAAATATCATGTTGTTTGCCTGAGAGGCACGTGTGTCAACACATGGACAAGAGCAACAGTGCCAGAACTTTTGAGTGCATTACACTGATGGAGAGTTTTAATCAGCTTTTAAGGCAGGTGATACTGCAGCTTGCACAACGGGTGGCTTATTAAGCTACAGCCTTATTGAAAATGGTGGAAATATATCAGTGTGCAGTAAGCTGAAAGAGAAAATACATTTGTGAGGCTTGAGATGCTCTAACCAGAGACAATAATCAAACACCCAGCAGAGAAGAGTATTATACCAGCAAATAAATGCATTTTACAATTGGGAGAGATATCAAATTTTTTGCAGAAAGGTGCTGGGATTAAGGAATTGGTTAGGATATAATTCATGTATCAAGCTGAAATGAAACCACTGCAAGCCTGCAGTGGGTGAGAGTGACTAAGAGGGGTTCAGGTATTGTTTAGTGACTCATCTTGTTCACGTTTTTCGCCACCAGCAGTGACTAACGGCAAATGGTTCAGAAGAAAATGCAAAGCACCTTGCCGGGGGCTTATACGTTGACTGTACTCCAAGGAGCTTTCCTTTCTGAAAGCTAAAAGTGACCCTGGCTTGATATAAACTTCCAAAACTTGTATGCAATTTAGCAGTGATTTACTTGCCCTCTGGGTGCTACTAGCCCTTTATATACAATTAATCTCTTCTCTAGTTCCAATATTTTGACCTTCCATCTTGTAACTATTAGTTCCCTAAATTAACTGCATGAAACAAACCTGTCAGGAAAAAGTATTTTTAAATTATTTTGTCAAGATTTTTCAGTTTCCTTCCCCCTTCCTTTTGTGCTAGAAGACAGAGCCCATACCATATCATAACTGACTTTCATCTCTACCAGCTGGCTGAGAAGTCTATGTATGACTATAATTTTGCAAGGACTTCTAAAGATATTTTACAGATTGGCTTGGAGCAGGAGCTGCTGGTGGATTCTGACTTCTTTGATACCACAACAATAAGAGATTTGCAAAAAACTGTGGTATGGTTTTTCACAGTTGATTTTTTATGCTTCTGTACAGGAAAATTTCACATCTCTAAACCTAGCTCAGAACAGCAGCAGCTAATCCTTATGTTTTAAATAACGTCATTCTGGTTATTTATAATCCCATTGTAACATGAAACATTTTTGTTGCATCACCAATGGACAACTGAGGTAACACTGTCAGAGGTAAAAGCATATGCCACATATGTGGTTTGAAAATAGAAAATTTTAAGAAGATGCTTTGCTAAGTTCTGATATTTGTTAAAATTAACAAAGTTAATTGAGTTGAGTTTTGGGGTTATTTTTTGATTGTATAAAGAAATATTCCTAGGCACAATGGTGCCAATTAAAATGACTGTCTGCAACATAAATCTTGAGATGTCCAGGTTTTTTCACCTTCATATGTAGCTCTACAATTCCAACAGTGAGTGAGTAAAACGGAGAAGACGTATTACACAGAAAGCCTAACACTTCCTATATCATTTAAATGCTGTACAACCCAATCTCTCTGCAGACAATTGCCCCATGCAAAGAAAGCACAAGGTAAGGATCAGCGTTTGAGGGGTGGAATATTCTTCTTTAGAGAATGAGAAGAGGATTTACATCCCAAAGGGACACTTTCAACCACTGAACACAGTCTAACTCCAGACAAAACAAGCAATATCTTCTCTTCACTACACTAAAATCTGAATATAGAAAGGATAATGGAGAGACTCGAAGCATAATAGCAGAATTAAGTATGTCTCTTCTCTTTTTCTCTATCAGTTGGAACAATCTCCTCTTCATATTTCCTTATTCCTCTCCTTTTTCCCAAACATGAAGAAAGTTCAGTGGGTCATGCTTGTTGCAGATAAATTGCTGTGTAGGGATGTCAGTCCTTCCTCCATTCCCACAAGGCTCTGCAGAGCTAAGCTACAGCCCTGACATCCAGAGGTCATTAGGTACATAGCTGCCTGTGTCTCCCTGTCAAAGGTCAAGTCTTCCTTTGTACCAAAGACCCCCGAAGCAGAGGAGCAAACCAGTCAGTCAGTCTTGCTGAACACTTGTCTGGTGTAGGCAAAGTCTACATTCAGATCTACAATCTGAAAGAAACCAGAGAGGATTTTACCCTCTGTTTTATAAGGTGTCTTTTTAGGTCTAATTGGGGTGCAAGGAGAGGGACCGAGTTTACTGTGGGCAGTTTTATTCTCTCTTTGCAATTGTTAAAACCTTCCCTTTTAAAGCCATGGCAGAATGATTCACTCAGGGTTCATAGGCTATTTATATTGCGTGTTTTCACTAGAGATGTATTTCTAGTGAAGATGAAATATGGTCTACTATATATATGGTAGATATGAATACTCTATATGGTATTGTATTTTCACAAGGTTTTAAGGGATAGTTTCTGTTCATACAAAGTGTTCTACTTAACTCATTAAAAAGATAAAGCAGTAAATGAACACATTTTACAAGAGAGTAAGCCTAGCTTAGAAATTTTCCACAACACTTCCGTCATGTGCTTTTTCTCAAGTTTAATTTGCAGAAACACTGCTGTGAAATATGTATCAGTTGTGTTAAAAAGGTGTGCTTCTAGATGAAATTGAATTTCTAACAGGGAATTAGTCTATTTAGCCTGACGTCACGTAACAGTAACACAACTACTTTTAATTATGGGTTTAGAACCAGAGGCCCTCAAGATTTACTGGCTGAAATACAGGTAAGATTTTAAGAAAGCTCTGGGTCTCATTAGACAGTCTCACACAATGTTGTCTTGAAGCTAACTTAAAATCCTGGGTGCAAAAATAGGGATTAACTTTAAATCACAATGGATAAAGAACAGTTGTTAGTTGTTCAGAAATTAAAGTTGCATAAGCTTGATCTTACAAAAACCATCTTTTTTGTAAATCCACTTAAAACAAGGAAAAGTTTTAAGCTATTCTACTTTGGATACTTTTGCAGTTTGTGAGGAGCAAAGGTGTGCTGGAGGACAACTTTATTGGATTTACCGTGCTCTCAATCAATTCAGACTATTGAAGTGATTTTTTTTTAGTGTGGTCTGAAGAAAATGTTTATATATATCTTTAATTTGTATTTATACAGAGACCTTTAGGTTAATTCTGTAGTAGGAAATTAAACAATACAAGGAATTGTTCCTGAGCACTGTCAATGGATATTGTTAAATTGATTAAGTGGCCCTATGAGTCGTTTGAGAGAACATGCAGGAGTTAGCACATCTCAGGGACCATTTCCAAGCCGTAGTTTGAGTGCAGCTGCTTTGTTCTATGGAAAAAAGAAGATAAATAGGATGGAGAAAGACTGTGCTGTGTTAACAGGCCTCTGGGGTGGAAAATACTCTTAAACACCCCAGATCAGGCTTATGTAGAAGACAAACATTTACACTCAGAATTGTGATTCTGAAGAGCCATTGCCTGGATTCTGCCTAATCCTTGCTCAATTTAAACTTCTTTAGCTTTTTCTTTCTTGGTACTTACTCTCATTTTAGATGATTCCCAACACTTAGATTCGTACCTTTGTGTATGTTAAGAATAATTGGGAATATTATAAGGCTTATCACAAATTTGGGATGTTCAGTTCTTATTTGTTGCATTATGTCTCGGTAAAGATATGTCGAAGTACATTGTTTTCCGTCAAACTTAACTACGGGTACAAAGCACATTTCGTCCCTTGCTTCCCCTGCTCATTCATTCTTCATTTCCTCAAAAAGAAGATAAAAAGGAAGAAAATTGCTAGAATATTTAGGTCTTGATTTCTTTTTGCTCTCCTATGGAAGGAATGGAGCCTCTAGGTACCTGCACAACTTACAAAGTTATTGTAATATTGTAATAAAGTGTATAATATTGTGTTATTCATCACAGCAACATTCCTCTCATTGCCTCATTGAAATTAAGATTGAGAAATGCTGGTATTAGTTAGCCTAATGCTCTTGAAGGGAAAATCTTTAAGCAAGTTGAACATGCAGGACAAAGTCTAAAGGCTATTGTGGTTGCTGCTTCCTTTAATGCAGTGGTCTTATTTGTATTTATGTGAACAGAAACTGCCTGAAGACAGCATATTTGACATGCAGCAGCCTAGAGGTTGCCAACCAGAAGCGCTGTGGAGAAAACACCCTGCTTTAGGTGGCTTTTACTCAATGCATTTTTTGTTTTAAATCTGAATTTGTCATACTTCAATCTCCCTGTGCACTATGTATGGATTCCATTCCTCATCAAGGTTATCAGTCCTACAGCTCTGAGACCCCTAAATGCTGGTTATGATCTAGATCCACATGAAAGAATTCTTGCAAGTTATCCATGACTTGAAGAAGTTAGTGTTGGTGCTTAATTGCAAATTTTCCTCAAGTCTGGTGTTTTTTCTCTATGAACATACTAAGCTATTTCACAGGAGTTTTATTATTTACTATTTGCTATTCCCTTTATTATTCCTGGTTTTAAGCCTATTCAATTGCACTGAAGCAGTCAGATGCCACTGGAATTGTAGAGGTACCCAAGATAAAAGAAGTACCGTTTGTTCCTTCAATTTCTATTAGAAAATGCAATATAACTTGCGTATTGCTGAATATCATATTGCACATGTTATTTAAGAATGCTAGGCAATGTCAGATGTGGGCTTTCTTTAATCAGATTCTGCATATGGTTTATTAAATTGTTAAAGGTCATATGCTCAAGTGGATAAAAAGGCAGTTGGTATTTTGAAAGTAATTATTGTCAAATCCCGCAATTGCAAGTGATATAGGGAACGGTTAAAGCAAATGTTTGCATTACCTGCTGGCCATGATAAAATACGGCTAAAAGAAACATTGCCATCAGTAGTAAAGATGCCTCCTTTGTACCCAGGAAGTCTGTGCTGGAAAAAAATCCAAAGTAAAATACAGTTATTGATTTGTCAGTGTTGTAATTGTTCAGAAGTTTCATTTTATAATGCACCCTGGTACTTCTTGTTGTTCTTTAAAAAATCCACCGTATTTGAAACTTTAACTTAGCAATAATTAGTTCAAGAGGACAGGAGTGTAATTAGAGTGCTCACTGTTTGGAGTCAAATGTATTAAATAGCTAAATTGTAGTCCACAGTAGATACAGAGAAGGTGATGATCTTTCTCTTTCAAATGTGATATGCAAGCTGTGTGTCAGTCATTCTCTTTTCCTGGGAGCTTGGTAAACAACCATGAACATCACAGCCCCTGCAGAAACAGGAGGTAGGATCTGGGTGGGGAAAGGTTGAGGCTGGAGCTGGCAAAGAGAAACTTTCAGACTGTGAAAGTAAAAGCCCAGTGAATGGGTTTAGCAATAACAGATAAACCCCAAAGCAGGTGCCGAAAGTTCAACATGCCTGTATTGTGAGAAAGGTTCAGAGAAGATGACAGGTAAGTTAAGGAAGGAGGTGTGGAAAGGGGAATCAAAAGAATGGCAAACAGAAATTAGGAGTGGTTTTAACAAGCCACAAAGAGGAGCACAGAGAAAAAATCTCTGCCTATGACAGGGGAAGTAAAGGAAACTCTTGCAGACAGTAGGGAAGCAAATAAGATGAGCCAAGAAGGTACTGGCCGTATGAAATCGCTGAGATGTTGTCTGTGGAGGTGAAGAAAGTGTGACAAAATAAGGTGAAAGGGTCCAGAGTAGTTAAAGGGGGTTTCAAATCTGAGGAGAAATTACAGTTATGTGGAAACAGGACAAAACTGAAGAAAATTAGTATCTCTGTAATGGCAGGGTTTTTTAAAAAGAAGAGGTTGGGAAACTGATAGGGCCAATCTCATAGTAAAACAAAAGGGAGAAAGAACGAAATTTGGAGGTGAGTCAAACTGTCATTTGAGGAGGATCTTCATCTGGCATGCACTTACAAGCACAAGTAACTGCACTACTAAATTGTAAGTCAAGTATTAAAGACTGAAGAAGGGTTTTTCTGAATAAGCTAAATCCCTGCTGATCTAGATTCAGTTATTGCAACACTTGGTGCACCTCTGACTGCAAATTACTGTGGCTCTTCTGTCTTCCTCTTCAACTCCTCTTACTGGGAAGGAAGACTGGGAGGAGGAGTCTGTCCTTCAATTGCCCTCCTACAAAATAGGATCATCCCTGTATTCTTTGTCTCTTTCACAACTACACGTTATAGTTTGAAATGTAGACAGTAAAAACAGTGCCCCTAAAAAATCAATTGTTCACTCCCGTTTTCTTAAATTGAGGTGAGAGTTTCAATCAGTATCGCTGGAATTTTCAAGAATAGAAGCAACCAATGCATATGCATTGTAATGCATATTTTTAGAAACCTGGATAGACTATGGGAGACATAAGAAAGAAACCCTGCTCACTATTTAAATGTCCTCATGAAATGAGAATTTTAGTAAAAAGGCCTGAGAAAGGATCACATTATAAATCTTTTTGGATTAGTCATTACCTCTTGCAACCATCGCTCCATACTTAACTATGGTGCTATCCAATACGAGTATACTCTGGCAAGACTTGACTCATTACCTTATTAAAATGCTGTTCCTAAAGGGGGCTGTGAACACTTACTCTCCGTTGTGGTTAAAGTTGTCATACTGCAGAAAAAGGGAAGCATAAATGGTCTCAGTCAGCAGAGAATAGATCGCAATCATGATGAGAAGTACTGCCAGCTTCAAGACAGAGTTGAGACGAAGAAAAACTGCACAAGTCACCATTGCCAGCACACCAGTGAAGACAAAATACTGAACAGAAAACAGCAGTGGTTACTTTCAGTCATCAGTGACCACATATTCACTCCATAAATATCTACATAAATGATCAAGTGATAAGAAGTATAAAAAATACTGTGCTTGATTTCAGTGATCAGCTCAGTCTTCTTAGGGTACAGCACTTATTTGAAAATAAATACTTTGGTAAAATAGAATGCGAAATTACAAATTCTCTATTTTGCATGGCACGTCCATGTTAACAGAAATCTTCCTGTGAGCCTTTATGGCATTCACTGTATTAGAAGGGAAAGGGCGTTCTGTATAGTGAAAAGAGGACAGGAAGAGATGTTGCATGGAGTAGTTTGCTAATGAAAAGTCAACTGAGAGAAAATAATTTATACTCATTTGGATTTTGAACTTCCACAAGACCCACATTAATCAAGGTGTGAGAATCATTAATCCTTTTCCCATCAACTTGAAGACAGGATAAAGCCAAAGTTTTGGTGTTGTTTGTTTTTTTTTTTTTTTAAGTTGCAGGTCTAGCTTATTTACATTACTCTCTTAAAATGTGATGCCTGGAAGTTTTTTTTCTCAGTGATTAGACATCTGTCAAATGCAATCCATGCAGCTGACACTGGATATAGAGTGACAATCATGTCCATGAGCCATTCAGATTTAAAATAGCAACCCACAGCCCAAATGTAGTTTAAATTAACTCCTATATACAGCTTTAGGAGAGAGAGCATTCATTTTTCTGAGTACATTTTTTCTTTAGTACAGTTCATCTGTAGGAAAGTCTGCACCCCTGCAATTTGCGGCATACTGCTGGCAATATCGTGACATCGCCATGTGACTTTCTAAGCAACATACTTCTTTTATCTGCACATGACCAACCATTGATTTTATTGCCTGCTTGCTCATCAGAGAGAGGATTTTTTTTCTCCAAATGCAAATTGAAAATAACTACAGCAGAGTGACTGCTGGTTTTGCTGTGTAAGAAGTATTAGTGTCCATTAGCTTCATACGAATTAAGTAAGTAGTGTGTTTTATTGCAGTAGGTTAATTGAATCATTGCTGGATGTGCTTCCAGCATAAAGGCTCTGTATGAAGTTCAAAGGTTGAAACTTGATTGTAATGCCCCATTAGACCATAAGATTAATTCCTTCTGTAACCCGCCTCTGCTTTTTCTATCAGCATATGGATAGACACAAAGGTTCAGCTTCACAGTGTTGTTGAGCCAGCTGACTCCACCACCAGAACACAGGTCATTGATTCCAGGTAGTGGTTGCCATGTAACCTTTGTGGATCCATGCCTCGGGTTCAAAAGTTCCCTCAGAAATACCTCAGGATAGGAACAGATGTCTGTAAAAGATGCAGATGAGTTAAACGTCTGGTTCTTCAGGGCTACTGGTTTGTCAAAATCACACCATAGCTGTGAAGAAAGAAAAAAAAAATAAGTAAGGGCTATATTGAGCACTGGTGACTAAGTGTTTGTGCGGCTGCGTTCAGGGATGGAACCGGCTGACCTGCTCTCCATGCCAGCTCCCTAACTGGCACTAAGGACTAAATGGACAATAACAAGACATATCGTGGAGATGAAATGGAAAGGGCGTAGCTATTCACACCATAGACATTCAGCATCTGAATAGTCTTCCTATACTCTCTTGTTGCCAAAGGTGAAAGATGAGCTTCTCCAGGAGTTTCAGATGACTGATTTAGACTCTTAAGAATTACCCGCTCAAAATATTTATACTTTGCTATAGACTATAGAGAAAAGTATTAAATTGGGAGCATAAAATCAGGCTGCATGTGTGCACTTGTCTGCAAGCAGTTTTTTTCTGCTACGTTGCTATGGACAGAGTTATCCAAAATGTGGGACAAAATCCCATGGTGTCATGCAGAACTGGCTTGTGCCAAAACATAATGTGGTCCCAGAGCTGCAATTTGTAATGCCTAGAATTGAAGGGAATGAAAATCCATTCATGATACAATGGTTTTGAGAATGTAATACTGTCTTTGGCTGTTATGACCTGCGTTTATTTTAATGGTATTTCAAAGCAAGTGTATTAAATATAAACAAAACAGCAGTGTTGAGCTGAAATACATCATGGTCTTAGAACGGAGGAAAAAAATCATTAATGGTTTCGTATTTTGACAGTTAAAGCAGATGGAGTCTCCCGTTGCATATACTAATCCAATCTGGATGTTTATACTAGGTCATTTCATCAGCCCAGTATGTACAAGTTAGTTCCCCTGTCTTTCTTTCCAACAGACTTAGTTTGTTAAATGAGGCCCAATTTCTTATAATTGAATTCCAATGAATTTTGAACTTGGAACTCTCTTGTTTGTTCTTTCAGCAATTCAGTCATCTCTGCAATGCAGCAACATTATCTAGGTTGTCTGTGCAGTTCTCCGTGACAACAGATATTTAATGGTACCTTCTGAAAGTTTATGAGGTGTACAGCACCTCTCTGCAGGGCAGAGTGCCATGGAAACCACGCTGGATGTCTTTTTAAAAGACCCTAAGGATCAGAAACTTTATTCTAATTTTATAACAATAAGAATGCACTTGATGTAAAGAACCGCAAGACGCATTGGCCCTCCTGGTGAAACCAAAGCCTTATGTCCTTTGTTAGAAAGCATCTGAGTCTTCGTCCACTCCAAGTGTGTGCATTTAAACTCAGTGGATGCATATAGCTGCAAGGCTGAGCTGCATTACCTGTTCTTAAATGCGTGCAGGTCTCCCCTGAGAAAACTGTTATTAATGGCAGAATTTTGATATATGAAATAATGAAGTTATATGAATGCTGTGATTTCCTGTAGAGGTCAGACTCAGTGGCTCAAGTCATTGCCTTTCTAAATATATGACGATAAATATAACTGTTTAAGGCTTTATAGAAACCCAGTGGTATGACAGTAAAAAGAATTAGATTTCTTTTGCATGCTTTTGGATTAGCCATCCCACAAGACTGCAGTGGACACAATCTTAAAAAATAATCCACAAGTCAGGAGAAAATCTCGTTATCATCATATCCATGGTAAATTGGGTATCGATAGCCCGTTAGAGATCATCTAGTTTCAAGAGCAAGATTAATTCTTCCAAAATCTTTCCTGACAGATAGTTGTCACACATAATTTAAAAACCTCTAAATTCTACAACACTCCTTTGTGAGCTATACTATAATGTACCGCTGTCCTTATCTTCAGGAAGTTTTCAACCCTATTGAACTTCCTGTCATTTACTGTATTTGTATTTTCTCTGTAAGGATAGCAATCAGTGGCTACATTCTTCTTTCTCCGACTAACTCTCCTATCAGTGACTGCATGGTATCACTAAATAACCCAGACAGCTGCTGTGTCCTCCCATATTGGCAACCTGAATTCAGTCATGGAAGAATGACAGCAATGTAATAAAATCTCATCTCTGTTAGCAAAAGATGAGGCAAATCCTTGAAGTATCAGGCTTCAGCATACTTACTCCAATGATATAATAATCATAATTATTATTAATTATTACAGGATAATTATTGTTGCTGTTGTATTGTTATAGTTGCTATTGTTATTACTGTCACTAAATACTTTCCTGGTCCCTTCTATAAGGAAATAAATATTTACAAATAATAAAGTTCAGATGAAAAAACACTCTTGCATTCATAGCCAAAAGGTGCCCTACAAAAGGAGAGAGTGATGAAAATATTACTTTTAATCTACCAGTGAGATGTTTGCCGCCTTCTTGGTTCAGGCTTCAACACTTGCCAAGTTGTCTGACATGGTAATCTGCCTAATTCATGCAAAACTTTCTCATATTTCTGAAGACATCCAGATAATCAGTGCTCTGTTGCATTTGCATTTGTTTTCTACATGTCTTACAAAGATCCCAGTCTTTTATCATGTGACATTGTATAGAGCCAGGCCCACAGTATTCAATTACCAATATTTTTATCTAACCACAGCTGCTAAGCAAAGCTTGGTGCATGCGTTGCCTCACTCATATATATCCAATATTTGATATAGATATACCGATGATATAGATATATTGATACATAACAGCATATATCAGATATACTGAAAAATTTTGCTCTAGATTCATCACACTTTAGGGTCTTAGTGGAGATGTGTATATTAGGAGCCCAATCAGACTAAAATCCATGTGTGAGCAGTAGAGGGAAGAAAATTTCTTTATTGGGACCAGTATGATCAAAGTAAATCATCAGGGATGCCTGTTTTTCTGCACTGACTATAAAGCAAGCTGAGAGTGACTATGCTCATAGCTTGGTACTTCATCGAAGATGAATCTGGGCTGAAGTGTTTTGTCACACCACCAAATGAGCAAAGGGAAAGGTATGTTTAGTATTTACGCTTTTAACTTCTTTTTACATGCTGTAGTTACTGGCTCAGCTTGACTTTCTCTGTCCTTTTTTGAAGGTATTTTCTGAGTTTGTTGACACTTCTCATTTTTCTAGTAATCTAATTAACGGGAAAACTGTGAGATGAGGAATTTAATATCTATAAGCATTACTTGGATTTACAGTCTTTAAAGAAGTATATCAGCTTGTCAGACAATTAGAAATGGTCCTCAAAGGGTAGGTATATTGAACAGAAAGAAGAAAAAGAGTTTTAAAAATAGATGATGCTCATGAGGGAGAAATAATTAGATATTTCAGAAATACATACTTTAAGCAAGAGATTGAATTTCCTGAAGCTGTGGTACTTTGCCTTTTATATTTAAAAGCTGGCTTACAGACACAGTAGTTAGCAAGTCCTGTAGCAAGATTAATAATTTATTAATCATCTTTTCCTGTATAATATTCCCTAGTCCCCTATGAAGCTTACAATATTGATGATGGCTCCAAGAAAATTAATCAGAATGGATGCAAATATAATGACATTCCTAGCCAGGTAGGTCTCATTAATCCAGCAGCAAGTTTTCCGGAGCATTAAGGGTAAACATTTGTAATCCTCTGCCGTAGTGATTAGCACAAGAGCGGAGTGCAGCATAATCAGAATAGAAAACTGAATGACCATTGGTATCACCCTAGGAAGAAGAAAAAGAGAACCGAGCATTAAATCCAAACAGAATACCACTGCTAATAAAAATAAATGTGCAAACAGTTAAGACTAAGAAAAATCAGTTGTCATAAACCAGAGACAATTACTCCAGGAAAAAACAAACAGAGAAAGCGAAGATTTGTTCACGTTCCATAGGTTTGCCATTGCTTCACATGGTTTCTTGCTGAGAAACTGCTGTTGAAGAAACAAGCCAGGGAAATCACTGCCAGTGCCTCTATCCGTCTATATACAGTCTGAACGGCAGGGATGCCCTTTCTTTTGGCACTCAGTTGCCTCTTAACTTTCTTTCAGAACAAATCTATTCAGCCTGTAGGGTCCTGATGCCACTTACGTATGAGCTGGTTCCTACTCTAGCAGGCTAGTTTGGGGGCAGTTTAGTAGAGTGTAATTTTGTATACAACACAACACGTGTCTTTTAAGACACATATACTCACACTCTACTGGGGGTCATAGGCTCTCAAGTGAGTACAATAATGCAGCCTGTTTTCTGGAGGAAGTCAGGATATAATAATCACAGAAATGCAAGATTTCCCTCATTTTAGCTGCAGCTAAGAATCTCACTGGTTTCTAAAACAGCAAAAGAACTGGTCTACTGTTTCCATGGAAGCCCCTTAAAATATAAAGCAGGTTAAAAGGTGTTCTATGATCCAAACATATTTAAATAAAACATGTTGAAATAAAACATGTAATTTGGCATGCTCTATAAACTTTGTTCTTGCAAATGTGATCCTCAATCAAGTATTGGTAAGTGCGTACACAATTCAATTCCTTTAAATAAACTGTTAACCATAATTTCTTGTAGTACAACTTTCATTATATTTTTCTAAATTTATTCTTTTTTCCTGCTTAAATCTGAAGTCAATCAAGAAACCAACATGGTTGGGAAATGTGGTAAATTGTTCTACTTTGCTGAGAAGAAAGCACTCAACGCTTCACAAGCCACCTTTTTTAATCTCCTTTTGTGCCAAGTCATTGCCTTTCTGTGTCTCTTTTCCCAAAGATCAAACCCATGCAAGGGAACTCCACTGCTCCTGTGAATTTCTCCCCTTTTCACTCGGCTTTCCCTTGCCTTTTTGCTATAAGACGAATGATTAAACTTGGGGCTTTGAATTAGGTAAGCAAATTTTCCAGCAACGTAGTTACACACATGCCAGTACACTACAGAGATTTAATCATAATGTCTCACAGAAAAAACTCTTTGAAAGCGGACTGTTGGGGTGCTTGAGGGAGGCTTCTGCACTTGCAGGTGGCTGAGTGTGGGTAAGCTCTATGCTACTCATTAAGCCTTCTGTAAACATATGTATTGTCTTATTGAAAAACATGAAGTTTCAGATTTTGCTACACATCACTTATCCCTCTTCTTTTTGGGTAGGGTGCAATGCTATTTGTACACCTGCACCATACAACAAGACAAATTTAAGCATATCGGGTGGAAATAGTAGTGAAAATATTAACATAGCTTTTCTTTCCTTGTTTTTCAGTAGGTCAGCCAGATCCACTCCCTGAATCGGAATGGACTATATCCAAAATTCTCCTCAATTTCAGGCTATTCAGATCTGGCTTTAGAAGAGCAGATTCTAGAGCTGTACAGGTCTGAATTCAAATCTGTGGTTTAAGCCTATCAACATAACTACAGCTCTCACTCTAAAAAAACTCACCATAGTAGGTATCTAACCAACAGGAAGAAGAAACCACACAGATAATGGCAGGAGAGGATACATGCCATAGCAGGACAAGCTTGAGCATCAGTCTGTGTGGGAACTGGCATTTCTTGTCTCTGGCCATGTTTGCATGGGTGGATAGAGTCCAAAATATTTGCATCAAGGAGACACCAAAGGTGCACTGGGTAGTTTATGTGAAAAAACTGTGAGTACATCTTCCTCATAGTACTGATGTTTGTAGAAAACACCGTGAGAAAACAAGATAAATGAAAATGTTTATGTGCAAAAGGAAATATGTTTTGTGGAAAAAAGGCAGGCATAAGTCAGAGTATATGTGGAGAAATGTTGGTCATGTTGAGGTTGGAAAAGACATAAATAACATATGAGGTACAGGTGTCAAATCTGAAAGAGATTCAAGTGCGGAACTGTACTCCTGTATGCTTTAGCCTGCTTAATTTTAAATATTATAATTTACAAGAATGTTCTGATTTGTAATGTCCTAATTCAGCTGTGATGATAGAGATTCACATACATTAAATTTGATGCTCCTTTAAAGGTAATATTTGCGCAAATATTCATTTCTGATCATCCAAACAGACTTGCTGGCACAATGACTCCTTTAAAGTATCAGGACAGAATAACATGCAAATTACTTCAATCTTTCTTGTCTATCACCTACCAAAATTAATCAAGTTAACACAGAAATATGATCAAGGTATAGGAGTTTGAAAACAACATGCAAGCCTCAGAATAATTTACAGTAATGCAGCTATGGCTTATATGTACGGCTCCTACTCTCAGAACCTCAAAATTAATTATACTTGCAGTGTAGGAGTCCAGAAAATAAAATTACTTAAGCAGATAATAAACAGAAAAGGAGGCTGTAGTCAGGAGAGAGTTATTCTTTTGGAACATGTCTGAACTGCTAGAAGTAAGATATATGTGCATAAGATGATTTTTTTCTTTGTAGCACCAAATTATAATACAAAACGTTTTGAAGTGTAATGTGAAAAATATCAAAATGGAAGTTCTGTTCCCTAATAAACCGAAATAAGATGAATTACACATTAACTCCCCGTGAGAGCTTCCATGTGGTAATATTAGCTTTGACACTGTTCTGATGATGTACCATTGGTATGAAATGTTATCTTACACATTTGGGTCAGTATTTCACTCCAACAAGCTTTGTCAGAGTTTTGTGTGTGACTTGAATACAGGACACAATGGAGCTTCCCAAAAAAGTCCCATACTCTCCAGCAAGCTCACCCAGAAGTAAAGCTTGCTTTTGGAAAAAAGAACAAAGTAGCCAGTAAAAACAAACTATGAAGGGAAGAGTGAATAATGAGGAAAAAAGGATTAGAGCAGGAGCCACAGTTTTCATCCTGTGTGACTAAAAGTTTTGTGGGAAGAGCCTCAGGACTTGCTGAAATTCCCACGGCTACCAAGTAGGGACACAATCCAACAATGCCTTGAGAGCAGCTTTTGTCTGTAAAAATACACAGAAAGCCAAGGAGAGACAGTCAATAAAGCTAGGGAAAAGCTGGACAATATGTTCATGGAGAACTAGTCAAGAGGGTCAAGAGCACTCATCAAGAGAGCTGTGTAGTTTAAAATATGATTCACCTCACTGCACAGCAGCCTCTTACATTTATTCAGATGGAAGGCACTTTGAGATCCACTGATTTACCCGTTCTCCAGTGCTACACTTTGAACCCAGACATTGACAGATAGTTAGATTAATTCCTTCAATTTCCTACACTATAGCAGTGTTCTGCAGCAGCTTTCTTGCTTTCCAAAGCTAAATGACTGAGATCTTTGTAACTGATAGTTTCTATCTATATATCAGATAGAATAAAATCATAGAATCCTTTAGGTTGGAAAGACCTTTAAGATCATGAAGTCCAACGGTGAACCTAACACTCCCAGGTCCACCACTAAACCATGTCCCTAAGCACCACATCTACATGTCTTGTAAATACCTCCAGGGATGATGACACAACCACTTCCCTGGGCAGCCTGTTCCAGTGCTTGACAACCCTTTTGGGGAAGAAATCTTTCCTAATGTCCAATCCAAACCTCCCCTGGTGCACCTTGAGGCCATTTCCTTTTGTCCTATCACTTGTTATTTGGGAGAAGAGACTGACACCCATCTTACTAAAACCTCCTTTCATGTAGTTGTAAAGAGTGATAAGGTCTCCCTTCAGCCTCCTTTTCTCCAGGCTGAACAACCTCAGTTCCCTCAGCTGCTCCTCGTAAGACTTGTGCTCTAAATCCTTCACCAGCTTCATTGCCCTTCTCTGGACACACTCCAGCACCTTAACGTCCTTCTTGTAGTGAGGGGCCCAAAACTGAACACAGGATTCAAGGTGTAGCCTCACCAGTGCCCAGTATAGACAGTCTATATACGCAGGTGTAGCCTACCAGTTCTGCAGACCTAGCCTGACCCAGCTCTAAATGAAAGAAAATTAAGGCTTCCATAAAGATTAGGGTCAAACCTCAAGAGGTTAGACCTGAGGACACTAAACATGAGTTCTTATTTTGGAATGCCAGCTCTACATGTAAGACACAGTGCTATTGAATTAAGGTACTATAAAGGGAGCATCTAGGGACCTAAGTCTGGGATATCAATTCAAAATGCAGCATAACCTGCTTGGGTGCCCGAGAAACCATGGCCTTGTATTTGATCATAATAAATAGATAGGCAATCAAAATTCCTCTGCTGTAGCTGTTCGGTTGAACATTGATGTGTTTGTCTCTTGTCTAAGCCTGCTTCAGATAACAACAAAATGGAAGTCTGCACACCTATGACCTCCTAGAAGATCAATCCAGTATCTGTGCTCAGATTTTGTTAGCAGCATGCTGATAGGATCAAGTACAGCAGAAGACAGCCAAGGTTAGAGGAATAGGAACAAACAGCCATAATGCTCTTCTGTCCATGAACTACAGAACTAGGACACCTGGGTTGGATCCCCTCTTCATTTAAGAAGAGACTCAAGACCAAATGCTTTTCTTTATAGGTGTTGCCTTACTGTCAAGATCAAGTGAATTTTGAAATGGAGCTTTTGCCTTCCCTCTTCCTTGTGTACAGTCGCAAATGGAAACTGAGCCAGAAGGAAAGTTTACTAAAACAGAAGACGCAGATGTTTAAATGAACAACAGTTTGAAATCTATTCTTCTCTCCTTGCAAGAATGACCCAGTGAAAAACTGACAGAAATAAGAGTAGTTCAACAGTCTACTCTAGTTTGATCTATTGCCCATGTGAGCATATAGAAAGTTCAACTCTAGTTTGATCTATTGCCCATGTGAGCATATAGAAAGTTCATTGCAGGAAATGAATCAAACTCCCAGGCCCCTCAGATGAATCGCTGCAAGGTTGCCAATGTAACTTTATGGCTTCACAGAGGATAATTACAGCAGAAATACGGCATTAATTTATGTCACTTAGAGTAATTTCCCCCTCTCAATATTTCAAATAATGAAAACTCTTGCAAAGTTTTTTAAATTCAGTGATGTGCCTGCCCTGTCAGGAAAAGTGTGAATGGATCAAATATTTATCCTGTGGGAGACAGATACAAACTGAGATAAAATTCTGAAACTCTCATACACAGTAGATGCAATAATAGAAAGATTATTCCCTTCTTTAAAACACAGACTAAGGTAACCTGTGTGGGAAATTCCCTGAAGATCCTTAGTAAGGTATGTTTTACGATGATTTAAATAATGTTTTCTTTCACCACGTTTCCAGAAATCCCCAAAAGACGTAGCTCAGAAAAATATTCAAAAATGTACTTAAGCAAATGCAAAATTCCATCCCTGTTCAACAGAGCACTGAAGCATTTGTTGAAAGACACTTAAATGTGTTGTTAGGAAATGGGTAAGTTACTGTGAGGAGTGTGAATTATAGTTTGTTAGTTGTTCCGTGGAAATGATGTCCATGTTTTTCCACTGTGGTAGTTTACTTCTCTGGTATCTATTAGAGGTGTAACAGATGAGCATGCAGTTATTTCCAAGAATGTCTGAATCCAAATCTTGCCTAACTTTGTGATAGCTTGTTCATGTGCTCACACTGTGAATTGTTTTTATAACTGGAACTCAGAAAGTTTGAACTTCCAGATTATTTCCTCATTCAATACATTTACGTGTATTGAAACCTTCTTACTCAAAACCCCTCATCCTGTTTCATTAGGGTTGCTCAGCTTTTGACCTCGGTTCATTTAAGAGGTGTGCTTTTTTAAGATTGAAATACAGTTTTGAAGCAGAGTAACAGAACTCGCAAACTGAAAACCAAAATTTGCCTTCTTCAGTCTTGATAGTGATCTACAGCTCCTGAAAGAACAGAAGAAAGAACTGCCATAAAGCACCCACGTGGACCCAAATCTTCTCTCAAAAGGGATAGCAGTAACTATTCTTTCCGTAATTATCTTCCCATGTTCCAGCAATCAATCTTTAAGAGCATTCTTGAGGCCAAGGATCCATAACTTTGTTTAAAAACCTCTGCTGTTCTTGTGTATTCCTTATGTTGAAATTTATCTAATCTTTATTTGAAGCTATTAATATTTACAGCCTATTTAACATTCAGTGACAAAAAGCATTTGTGAAGTGCTGGGAAAAACACAAGACTACTGTGCAAAAAGGGAAACCAGAATCTGAGACAACTGCAGGCAATGTGGTTATGTGACTCCTTCCTCCCCTAATTCCAGTGGCACTAGACACCCTCATGAGAATTAAAAGATATGAATTTTTGCAGATAGAAAAAGTGTCTTTTTTTTTTTTTGCTGGTATAGAAGTGACTGATATGGCAGCGGAAATCTTTTTGGAAAACAGGTTCCATTAATAAGATCCATAAATCTTCTTGTACCTACTGAGAAAAAAATAACACCTACCAGAAGTGAATAATTTTGAATGTGTATTGGGAGGACTTTAAAAAAGCAAACAGACTTACTAGTGTTAGAGCAATATAAAGCATAAGAAACAGCAGAAGGTCAGGTACTACTCTGGGTACTTTCCCAGCTGAGAACTACAAAATGCATGGGACACCACTGCTGCAAAATGCAATAGCCTGCCTGCATCTAACCACAATTTTTGTATTAGACATAAACATGGTGAACCATGGCTTCCAGAGGTGACCCAAGAAATACTGCTGCATTACTATAACACAATAAATACCTTATTTCTTTATATAAGTACTGTATTTTCAAGGTTATTCTACAGGCAGCCATAAGTTAAGATTCATCTGAGTGTTAGAAACCACCTGAGAATTATGTTCATCTGGGCATTTCCATTATAGCACTTTCTCTGCCAAAGACCAAACGGGACCAGGGGCAAGTTTTAGCAGCAGTCATGTTCTGCTGTCTCTGCTATGATGCTAGAAAACTGACCACGGTCCTTGTATGCACTCTTGTGTTCTCACCAATAAATAGTAGACAAAAAGCCGGTTGATGGTTTTGACTCTGTAAAACATGTGGACACAGAGGTCACATTTATGTGACATTTTTGTCACCTTGATAGGAAGATGTCACTTAGTCAACCCCACATAAAAGTGGAAGTGGGAAAAGATCTACCAAATCACCTGCTTGCTTCTTCTTGATGGCATGAGATTTTTTCCCCAGCTGGGTAGTATGTATCATTAGCAACAAAACACAACAGTACAATTTTCTTATGTAGAACGTAAGAAACAAAACTAAAACAATCACTGATTGCCCAGGTGACTACCAGTCACTTAGCAAAGCGGCACTGTTATAAGTCTGGATCATGTTTTACTTCAACACTGGAAGCATCAGGCCATACCACGTCAAACAACATAGTGTCAGTAGATGCTGCTGTCTCACATGAAAACCTGTAGCTGCAGCTAACATGATACACAAGCAGATAATAATGGGAAAAAAAGTGCAAAAATATTTCTGAACACTTTGGAGGACAAGCAGGCTCATTCCACGTCAATCCTAGAAATGTTATTCCACTATTGCCCCAAGTCCGCCTTCAGATATACAGCAATATCTTTCTGTATTTACCTGGAAGAAGGAAGTAAGCTTTGGATAGCCGTGATAAATACAAGAACAATAAATGCACACACCAAGTTTGATTTGAACACCTCGTCCCGCATTTGAGAATACTAGAATAGAAAAAGAAAAAAGAAGAGTAAATTAGCTGTTAACTCATGCAGTAGTTCCATAAAAACTGATGCATAGAGGAGGCTTTGGGGAAATTATCAGGAAAAGCTAATAAATCAATAAACCTGAATTTGTTTTTTAAAATGAGACACAAGAAATAAAGCATTAATAAGATGGCGAAATACTTTATCCAAGAGAGTAAAACTCTGTAATTTTAAATACAAAGTTGTTTTACTTGGTTGACTCTTATTTCAAAATTATTTGCTTTAAAAATCCCCAGGTAGATATTAGGGGCTTGTGCTGCTGAGTAGAATACTAAATACTTAATAGCTTACCCAGAGAAACCATGGGTTTCTTCACCTGAAGACAAACACTGAACTCAGCGGCAACTCTGCATGCCTGTGCAGAAATTTCTCAGTTTGGGCATTCTCCAAAGAGAAAATGAAGGTGGTATTATTATGGAAAAGACCATTTGAGGTGCATTATTATTATGATTTCTTGCACAAGTATTTTCCTCCAGCATATCAAACCACTGAAAATACTAGTAGGTTCCCCTTTTGTGGGAGTTACCAAGAAAAGGAGTAACGGATACATCAGTGAATCACTATGGATGAGTTAAAATGGAAACATTAGCCAAGTCCTCAGCTGGTATTTATCACTGCTAATTCAGTTAAACTCCAGTTGTTTACAGCAGGTGAAGGCTGGTCCGTAGACATATTTTTGTAAATCTCTTTACCTTATTCTGATGCCACTAAATTCTCTACACCTAATAAAAAATCCCATAGATCTCTGCCTCAGTCATTTTTCATCCTCTGAATAATAAATAACTCAATTTTCTTTAATCTCTTGCATTTTTTAAGGAGCTGAGAGTTACATGTGCAGAACAAGAGGAAATGGGAGCCAAAGAGATATCAGAATCATTCTCCAGCAATTTGGAAATAAGTCAGACTGCAATTATAAATGCCTAAAGAGCATTATAATTGAGAAAAATTGAAACGGAATAAGAAATGTATCAGGAACATACGTTGAGAAAGTTCAGCTATGAACTGCATTTTAGAGCTAATCTGCTCTTTATGGAAAAACCTATCTAGATTTAGACTATATTCACTACACAGACCTTTGGTAGGGGCTTAATCTCAGTTATAAGCATCTGGTCAAAATAGCCTCAAACTCCTGTAGTGGGAAAAAGGCTTCTCTCTTCCCTGCTCCCATTTGTTATGAGTAAGAGAGGGGGTTTATTTGTTGGCATCCCTCATTTTGACTCCTCCTCTGCTGTGATTTTACCCTGTGTCTGCTCTTGACAGAAACAATATCACTTTGACATGATTTTCGATGGTGCTCACAGGCTATTCCACTTCATTTTGTTGCTGGAAGCACAGAGGCACTGACCCTGATGTCATGTGCAAGAAAACAGAACTGCATCAGTCTGCTTGAATAATGGACCAGAGCTTTTTTCGGTTGTGCTACAAAAAGAACCAAAGGGAAAAAGAAAGGTATGTTCCTTAAAATAGAACATGAAATCCCAACTGTTCCTTAGGGAACTTATAGCAAACTAATTGAACAAAACACAAACGTGGAATTGCGTGCTGTGTTGGGTGTTATGTCAAAAGGATGAATGCGGTGGTCTAATCAGTAACAACGTTGTGATGAGAAGTTGTTAGCATCTCTGAGGCAGCACAAGCACCGATGATAAATGTAGCACTTCTCTAGCAGTCAACCCCTTAATGACTTGCAGAAGTAACTGAAGGATAAACTAAGCCTCAAGACACTTCCATAACAACGTAGCCAACTAGAGTCACGTAGAGCGATAGGAAGAATTGTGATGTGACCTACCCGGCAATGAAAACCTTAGCTGCGACCTCCCAGACACCCACCTGCGCTGGCATGACTTGCTCATGGCGCAGCGGAGGCTCACCCTGCTTCCCACGGGGCTTCAGCCACTCGCCTGCACTGTTGAGGGGACACTGTTTATCCCGTCTCACCCAGCCAGCCTGCTGAAACTGAGCTTGTGTAAGGCCAAGTTTCCTCTGCCAAACAATGCTGCTTATTCCCCACCTCACCTCTCTTTTCCCAGGGCTTTTCGAAATGGGAATACCAGGAACACAATAGGCTTTATGTGTTCACCTAGAGAAAGTGCTTGTGCACTGGGGAGGAAGTTTTTGGTCTCATCCTCACTGCTACTCTTTGACTCAGATAGGACCTTATGGATAAGAAGGGACACCATTTTTTTTTTCCTTCAGAGTACGTATTTGGAAACCCTTAGTGTATTTTCATGCTACCATTAGAAGGATTCTCCTGTGATGAGTCTTTTGCTCTATCTGCTTACATCCTATTTGTGAAAATAACCTCTAGGAAAATAGAGAGTGAATTAGTCTCTAAATGAGATATCAAGTGCTAATGAATGAAATACAAGTTAGTAATGACTAGTCCATTTGGGTAAATAATCTATAAAATATAGCGGGTGGAGTTCCTGCACAAATCCTTTGAAAAATGAAGTATTACAAAACTCGTGTGGGAATACGCATACTGCCTCAGGTAGAGAACCCGTTCGCTAATGCAAGCGTTACTGCTTGCTGCAGAATCTACATTTATTCTACCACCCAGAAGGACACACAGCAATGAGATGAGAGGAATGGGAAGATGTACCAATGGCTTAAACTGCTGTGATATACCAGTCATTTAAACGATTGTAAACCAGGAGCTGTGCTACTTCCCATGGTAGTTTTGGGCATGCTGATTCCAGATTTCTTTTTTTTTTTTACCTTTTGAAACCTTAAAGGAAACAAAACAGCACTTTTATTGCTAGTGTAAATCGGCTGTCTGCAATTGTTTTACAATGAAAACAACCCAAAACAACCCAGAGTCTTTAAGAGAAGTCCAGCATTATATTTCAGATGTATTCAAGCCACCCCAAAATATTTGTGATCCCATGGCATGATAGTCCTGTTACTAATGCAGGAGGAAAAAATATAGTTTATTGTTCATGTGGTTATTCACTTCTCCGTGATTTGAGGTACAGAGCATTAACACAATTCTCATTGAACAAGATTAATGTAGTAATTCTTGATTGGGATCTCAGCCACGAGCATTGGTTGTTCTGCCTACTGAATAACCGCAAAGTCTGGAGCAAGAAATACTTACAGATAAAAGAAATAAGTATTAGGCAGATGTCGGCACTGGCTGAAAGCGTGGTGGCTAAATGTGAGGGCACAAGATTTTACATAGGAGAAGTTACTTTGCTTGAGAGCTACCTCTGACTTGAAGCTGCCACTGGTCTGCAGAGAAGGTGAGTGGCAGCAGATGAAAACAGCAGTGTGAGATGGGAGGTCCACAGACATATACTGTCTACTTGCTCAGCGACACGGCAGGGAGCAGCTCAAGATGCTGATGTAGAAGGTCATGTAAGCAGTTGCAAAATGTTAATGACTAGAAGAAAGCGTAATTCCAGACTGAAAGGTTAAGGGTGGGGAGAGCAGAGGGAAAAGGTTTCTGAAAGAGTTTTATGAGACTCCAATTTAAATCTGAGTTTGTTTTGTTTCCTAAATGGGGAGTAAGAAGGGAGAAAGGGATAGCAATATAAGATAACATGGAGGAAATAGCTGCTTTCTGTAGCAAAACAGTTCACCCATTATTTTTTTCATGACTGACTGTAGACTGTGGTTTAACACTAGGGCTACCGGGACAAACCTGAAATTACTGCACAGGCAAACAAGGAGGGAAGGGACATTTCCCACATTGTCGTACAAGACATTGCCCTTGCCTATAATAAAGAGGACACTGTGATTCATCTTTCCTTAATCCACATCATCCTTCTGCATCCCGGTGCATTCCCCATCCTTCTCTGAGCACACCTACGGTGCCCCAGCACCCTGACCACAATCAAGGAGGTTGCTGATCAGGAATTTTACGGCTGTTGGAGGTGGATGAACCAGAGCAAGTGAAACAGTGCTGATATTTTTAAAACTTTACTCCTGTGTAATGCTAAAAAACAGCCCAATTTAGAGCACAGAAAGAAGTTTCATCCCACTTTACAGGAAGGATATTGTGTTTGTATTGCCTGTGCTTACTGGTTGGGACTAACACCTAAGGAAATATTAAATGAAAGCACCATTTTCTAAGCATTGCAGCACAGTTTGACAGACGAAAATGTATCAAAACTTCTCAAGATATTGACTTTTAAATAGACTTTTTGTCATCCAGATGCAATTCAAAATGTTATTTAAAATCTGACCTATGTAATGTGATGGATTAGAACATGGATCTTTTTTCTCCTTTTGCATAAATTGCATTTAAATGAAAATCTACCCTTTCTGTATATATTTTCCTTGTGGCTGTTAATTGTGAAACCTAAAATTCAAGAAAGTTTCTATGCTGAATATGGGACCTGATTCTGGGCAGTGTCCCTTTACTCCAGCTCATGTTTAGGCCTCATTTTTATTGAAAAGAAATGTAAGACCAGGTGAACCATTGACTAGCTTGCTCATTCAGCAAGTTCTTTGTGACCAAGCTGCTTCCTCTTTTGCACAAAAAAATACTAATATACCATCCCCCACCTTCTAGTTGAAATGCTACTTTGTCTAGATTTTTTCACCTTACCTTTTGACCTTGTGCCTTGAAAAGATTAAAGATTACTCATGACTTTGGGGCCTTTAGGTGGTAATTCACAGGATATCAGAAATCTTGGATTTGACTTCCTCTGGGTCCCTGTCAACTTTGCACGATGGCAGCACTGAAAGAAATATCTTCATATCTTCTGTTGCAGCAGCAGCGGCTAATTTGGCTGTAGGGATTCTACCTTATGTCTCAGTGTCATGAACATCCTTATGGGAAAATGGAATCTTTTCTTTTTTTAAACAAACCTTTATTTTTCCTTCTGCAAGATTGCTTGTGAAAGAAGGGCTTAAATGTACTTCAGATGGAATTGTTCTTTTCCAGTGGCTTCTATTAAGCTCTCACCACTGGTACCACCTGAGGACTGATCTCCCATAAGTCAAGTAAAGAAGTCTGGTTTCCAGTGGAGGTTAAAGTGATGACACAAGTGATCCTCCATGCTTGTAATTCCCTGTTATTTTTCTTCCTTTTCAGTCTAAGTGCACATCCTATTGCAGATCTCCTGTTGCTGCATTGTAATAGCATACAAGTCAATGAAATCATTTGAGATTTGCGTGCAACCCTGCCCCATGTCACCAGTTTGCAAGGAAAATTTTCCCATTGCCTTATCTTTTAACTTACAACTTACATCTGGATGTAGACTGAAATAGAAATTAGTGAGATCATAATTGCTGTTGAGAAGCAGCAAAGATATGAACAATATTTACCTCTTTAGAAGAAGATGTTAAAAAAAGGATATTTAAAACAAAGAGTTGACAAATTAGTTTTGACTTGAAATAAACACAGAAGCTTCCTAGAGGACATCAGATGGATCCTATGACTAAATGACAGAAACATATCTATATAAATATAGATATATGTTTTGAATAGAAGTGTCAGTTAATTAATATGCTCTATCACTGTTTGTGCCAAAGCAACCTGCCATCTGACAGAAAACTGCTTGTACTAGACAGCAAACCAAACCCGGCAAATGGCTGTGTTTTCAGAAGCAGAGTTTGCTCAGTGTAGGCATTTTCCAACAGTGAAATGTAATCGTTGCAGCATTAGAACACCTCCATCGTGACACTGTCTATTATGACCTCTAGCTCGGTCCCAACTTCTGAAAACTGAAACAAAATGAAAAACAAAACCAGAAAGCAAACAATGCAATCTAGAACCTACAGCTTCTCTACTCCAGTGGACATTTGTTACAATTTGAGTTGTGAATAACGCAGCTACCAAGACCCAGCTACCTTATGCTCCAGGCTGGAGTCTTTAAACATCAGTGAAAAAGGCTTGATATGCTCTCTTCTCAATTTATCGCCACTCCGTAAGTCGATGGTGTGCTCTATTCGCTTGTTAATTTCCTCAGGCCCAGACTGGACATGCAAAGCTTGTGCAAGATGGTTTGGAAGCAGATTTATTGAATTTCTTGTTAGGGCAGCCAGAGTCTAGGGGAAAGCACATGCAAACAGAATAAACCTGCTGGTCCCCTTGGGTTAAAAATGCAATGTTTTAGATCATGTTGCATCGCAAACCATTACAGCATTCCATGCAATTCATTCAATGAAATCTATAGAAGTGTAAAATAATAACTCTGTTCCACTAAACACATACAGTACATTAAGGGGAGTACTTTAATGTCCTCTTTTATACAAACTAGGAGGTTTGCTGCTGCACTGAACACTTTCCCCTTTACAGATTCTGCTAATTAATTATTAAAGCATGCATGAGGTGAGTACACACCAAAATCACAGCAGGGTATCTAACTCAATGGTGTGTTTTAACAACTAAGAATGGCAGCTACAGAAAACAGAAGTAACAAAACAGGAATAACGTTTTTCTTGATCTTAAAGCTACTGGATGTGTTTAGTTAAGGAACAGATCAGTTCGGCAGGAGTGAAGAAGGTGACATTTCTGATTACTTCAGCATGGGTTTTCAAATAATACGTTCTTCTTCACTACTGGTATATTTCAGCCAGTCTAGATTACAGTTAGGCTATATGATTTAATTTAACTGTAATTCATATTATTATTTTAAATATTCTCTCAAATGCATTATTCCTTTGGTATTTCATTGACTAACCAAAAGAAAAAAAAGAAAATACTTTTGCACAGCTTTGCAAAGGAAAGCTAGTGGAGGTAGTACAAAGGGTGCTTCACCTTCAGGAAAGTGGTAGAGTTTGGTTTCATAAAGAGAATAACTCAGTCCAGTTTCATGGTATCATTTCATAACACAAACCACAGTGAAGCAGCACTTTCCCACTTTAATGGGAAAATACACTCCACTACCTGTGATATTCCCAAGGGTTAAGAAATGTTAATGAATGGAAAGGATATAAACCTTCATACATCACAGCATAAAACATTTCAGAATTATTATGGACAAGAAATACACTTCTGCTTGAGAAAAGTTATCCCATAGGTCCTTGCTGGAAAGATCTACTGGCCATTGTTGGAAACAGGAGTTTGGGATGGATTTATCACTAGATTTCGCTGGAAAGTCAATCCTTTTGGATCATGGGATTATGTACAGCAAATTATATAGGGAGATTTCTCTTCATATTCAAAGTATAGTTAGCAATTACATTCTAATGAATCTTGGACAGTGCATTTTGTCTCTGTATCCCCCCCTTTGCTCTGCATCTTTTAAGACTGTGTTATGCCGACTTAAAAAAATACTGGTTCTCCCTTCACTTTTGTGAACAGCTGTATGGAAAATACAGTTGTGAATCCTACAACGGGCTTTTGAACTTCCCTGATGCTGACGGTAACCATTCATCGCACAGCAACGCACACAAGTTTCTGTTAGGAAAAAGGCCAGCCAAACTTGCACCTGAGACTAAAAGATAGGATGATTTAAAACAAACAAATAATAAAACTCCAACTTTAGAGATATTTTACAGAGATTTTAAAAAGGTGGCTGGGATTACATTTTAATTCCTTCCTGTAGAGTTTTCATGCAACAAGTCCAAACATCCTGACCTCAACACAAAGGGAAATTTTAAATCAGTGCCATTCAGAAGACTAGGAAGGCTTTAAATTATTTTTTCATACTGCAAACACCAGGTCTTGGAGGGAAATAGGGAAACACAAAGTCATATGTTTAAAGAGACACGATACAGGTAGGATTTGGTTCAACAGGAAGACACCTTAAACGAAGGTGTCCCAGTGTTTGGTGTCTAAGCAATATGCACTCGGGATACTTTCAGCTGTGCAATCGTACGCAACTATGGTCAGCTGAGATGCCCGAGGGCATCCTGCACAACAGTCTGGAGCTAGGAGATATGGCTCAAGACCTACAGGAACCCCATGCATTGCTGGTCGGTGGTGGGGACCAGCTGGAGTATGTTAGATTAGATTAGATTAGATTATCTCAAGCTGCCATAGACAGCCACAGTCAAGAAGCTGAATCAATCGCTTACTCAGCATGTTTCAGCGTAGGTGTTTAGCACTATTTGAGACATCAGAGTCCCTTACCTGGCTTCTAACTGATAGGCCAGACGATCACAGGTCTTTTATAGGCCCCTTGACATATGAAAGTCTCAGGCACCCTTGAGCACCACAAGAAGCACTAAACCGTTATGTTTAGGAGCTGAGCTGTGTGAGGTACCAACACCTGGGGCGGTCAGTAGACAGATGCACAAATGCAGGTGCCTTGTCTTTGAACTGACTTCCACCCTGTTGTTTTTATTTGTCGGCCATCTTGGCAGTCTTTAAGTATCATTTTTGTGATAACTGTTAAAAGTCGTTATAACCACCACTAAAACATGCTTGTACAAGACACAGACGTTTTAATATGCTTCTTTCCTAATTCATAGGCCCATCAGGTGCCTCCAGCACCACACGCAGTGACCGTATTATGTTTTCAGCTACACCTTTTGGAAGCCCCAGCAGAGAAATCCAACTTCATCAGCTATCAATTTATTTTAGAGGAGGAGACCTTCACAGACGTAACTGCTGTCCAACTTCCTTTGCTCTAGAAAAGAAGCCCAGACACCTGTTTCAATAACCCAAAACTCCATCCATATTGGGCATGGTCTCGATTTCAGAGCAGACACTTGCATTCTTGGCTTGCCTCACCACCAGAGCTAAAGCACATGGTGCTCTCTGTGCTGTAGACACATGCAGCTTGTGTCAGCATCTGTGACTCTGTACCTAAAGAGCCTTTAGTCTGTCCTCACTCGTATCTACACAACTTCAATTCACTGTCTCAGGCTGCCCATAGAAAATGAGTTTGAGGTAAAGAATATGGATGGTGGTGAATTTGAGTTTGGCAGGAGAACTCACCAGCAACTTTGCCATTTCATATTCTTCATAACATAACCACAGGTAAAAGTAAGACACACATGATCAAGGTTGCTCAAATTTTGTTGTAACTTACATCAGGTAAAGAAATCGTTTAAACGCTACTGGCAAATATTCAAACATATAGAATGATTCATTGCTGGGTTGCTGCTACTTGGATTCTCAAATTCTGCTGCTGCCAGGGACTTTCAGGCTGCATAATTAATGTTATTAAATGTGTATTCTGTCCAAGACTGACACACCTCTGGAAAAACTACTATATCTTAGTATAATTTAAAACTATCCTTTGAGTTTTGAGCTGAAAAACATTATTTATGAGCAGTAATGCTTACTGTCTCAACTTTAAAATTGAAAATTACATAATAATTGAATCACATATGGAATAGCAGATTTTTAAAATCTTGTCTCCACCAAAAAAGTTATTATAAAACTGTGTGATATAAAATTATAGTTATTTCCAGCACAAAAACAAGCTCTTAAAAAAACAGTGAGAAACTATTCTAAAAATGGATTGCTTATTGCCATAAGACAAAAATCTGCTGTAAAACAACTGTTTAGTTATGTCTGTTTCAATGATTTTCATGGGCTTTTTACCAGTTTATTGGGTGGGAGTTGTTTAATAATTGAATAAAAATACTAGTCCTTTATTTCTTTCCTCCTCTTTGTTACTAGCAAGGTCAGGTTTAGCTGAGAAAACGATCAACGAAATGATAGCCTACTCTGTACAGATTTTTTGGATACAGAAATTGGAACATCTTAAAGGGAGAGAAGAAGAAACAGAGAGAGATCAGAAGATATTCACAGCAGCATGCACTCAAACTTCTATTCCTAATGAAATGAGAGTATAGAGACAGGTCAACAAACTACAGTGAATGCTAAAAGGCAGCGTACATGCATATACACAGATGTACAGAACATATATAAAACAGATGTTTTATATAGCAGCAAACTATGCCATGCTCCAGTTCAGTTTGAAGAGGTGAAGACACCTCCATGGGCTGATTGATTGTGAAGGCTTAGCACTTCTGAGTAGATTTGTAAGAAGCAGAAGATGGTTGAAAAAGCAAGACCTCCACACAACAACACTTGAAGTTCAACAGACAGTGCAGACAAGAAGGACTAAGGATGTGCAGCAGAAGAAAGGATATATTATGTCATTACAGATCCCTCGGAAAAATGGAAGAAAACTCCATCTGACCTTGTTTCATAAAGACTCACCAATCTTTCAAACGCAATGAAGAGTGTGGTGTCTGAGGATATTTTACCCTTGCCATCTTTAATTCCTCTAAGCAAGCAGACTTCACAAGCAATTTATATGACTGTACACGAATTGTTGGTTCCCAGGATGCTAGCAATAAGCTATGCCATGTTTTTGGAAAAGATCTGATCAGGACCAGTTGTTGTTATCTCATATTTCTATTGAGCTATGCATGACCTTAGAGTCTAACTCACCTCCTAGTGAACCTTAATTATGTCTTAGAATCTAATTTTAAAATTTTTTACTTAAAAAAAAAGAAGAAATAAAAGTGAAGAATGAATAAAATTTTTCACAAGGTGCTTTTTTAAAGGTAGATCCTCCTTCTTTCCCTGATATATCAATAACCTCCACATCATGCTTTTTCCTCTGGCAAAAGGTCCATTCACTCATCCCTTTAATTTCATGGCAGTGCAGTGAAGCTATGCAGTGAGATACAGTCTGACTAGAATGTCCCAGCTAGTTTAGTAACATTATCTTTACTTTTAATTTGCTTCTTTATGGACTGGTTGAATTAAAGCTAAGCTGTGTAGTATTTAATTTGAGTTGGAAAAAAACCCCAAAAACCTCTGGCATTTCCACAGTTTGGATATATGTTTTATTTCTGCCCTGAAAAATTTTGTTGAATCCTCTGATGTTACAGTACAAGTTAGAATAAAGGTTAAAGATGAATTTGTCTCCTCTGAGGATTTCATTATTGAAATGCACTCAAGCATGCCTTCATACTTGATGACATTAAAGGAAGTTTGACTTACGTTCTGTTTTCCCACTATGTTATCAAATGGAAGTTCAGGGCTCCAAGATCCTTCGGTAAACGTTGCTCCACTGTTTCTCCTATCGGAGGAGCTGACAGCCTCTTTCACAATATCTTCAGGCAAAGTCAACAGACTCTCCTCAGGTTGTTTAATTAAATAAGTCTCAATGTTATGTTTCCTCAAGAATTCATTACGCTCTTTACCATGCCCTTCTTCAACTTTATAATCCCCATTCAGGCAGTCCAGTGTGGCTTTGGAGATGTGAATTCTCCTGTGGTGAAATAAATAGTAGCAAATATTGATTGTGCTCTAACAGACACAAGTAAGAAGAAGTTTATGAACTCTGCATAATTTTTAACATTATGGTTAAATATAAGATTTTCTATTGTACGTGATGATTTCTATACAGAAAATGAAATAGGGTATTCAACAAACATGAGCTTCATTTGGAGACAAAAACTCTCAAGGCACATCAATAGGATCTCATGAATGCACAAAGTCCTGTCACAGGAAACACATTTTGATATTCACACCTGACACCTTTGCTCACAGTAGTAGTTTAATGGGAGACCTTCCTGAGTGAAATACTATTCAGAGTGAATGAAGATTGCCACTTCAGGTAAATATGGTGAGAGGAAAATATATGGTATGCATTAAAGCAGCTTGTGCGAAGCTCTAATTTCCTTCAGTCAACTGAGGTAGCTTAGACAGTTGGAATTAGTGGTCTGATTGCATCTGAAGTGAATTAGGGAAATAGGGAAACTATACAAATGCAAGTAAGGAGATAATTTCTAGTAAGACTAAGTGATGAGCTCAAAAAGCTGCTGCAAAAGTGAAGTTGAATCTAAGAGATGACATAGGAAAAGCTCAAAATTTGCAAAAGCATGATAGGGCTTTGGATATCTTCCAACCAAACCTGAAGGTGTTTGGTATTTGGACTTTTTTAACCATAATTATGACTGCTTGAGAAGGACAGCAAGAAGTTCAAGTTAAAAAAAAAAAAAGTCTTTCTTATTTCTATGTTTAAGAAATCTTCAAGTTCCTACATGAAGGGCAAATTGCAGACACCCTTAAAATACAGCCACATGGTTAGCCATGCTATACTTTATAATGCAGCATCATAAATGCAGTAAGAAGAGATGTTCATTAGATATTTCGCTAACTCAAGCCAATAAATGTAGTGACTCCATTAAAATTGGCTCATTTTTCAAACTTGCAATGCATGGAACTTTCTGAAAGTCAAACTTGCAGACAGATTCCTAAAACTCAGAGTCAGCTAAAATTTGTGACCATTTCTTGATGACACATGCTGAGGCATTTTTCTCAGACACCACGAATTGTCTTATCGCCCCTGAAGGAAATGATCCTAGCACACCCCTTGGGAACTTTCCTCTGGAAATTAAAGGATTCCACTATGGAATTAAACTGCATAAAATGTTGGTGGCGTAAAAGGCTATAAGTATATGTATGATGTGCATGTATTGTCAGAAAACAAAGTGCTGGTTGTCTTGAAGCAGTGTGAAATGCCCAGGAGTATCCGAATTTGGCACAAACTGGGTCTATGTGGAGTATTAAATATCAATAACTAATTAAAAGATCAAAAATTTGTATCTCAGCCATTTTTTAACTTGTTTCAGCTTCCCTCTGAATTCAACACCGGTTTTGTGCAACTTTCATTGTCTGAAGTCATGCCATTATGATGCCCACAGAGATTAGTACTCTTTTATAGTTAAATAACATTTCTCAGATTTAAGCAACTTTTGGCCTGGACTTTAAAACCAGAGCATATGACCTCTCAGAAAGGCAATGCATTTCCTAGCTCTTAGAAACCCAAATAGGTTAAATTGATTTAAGTAAAGTACTAATTAAAAAAAAAAAAACAAACGAAAAAGAAAAAAAGAAGAAAGAAAAAGAAAGTGATACATTAGTTGCCAGGGTGACTATGCTGAGTTTCAACTAATATAATTTTGAAAGATTGCATTATAAAGCCCTGAAATATGGATTTTATAATGGAAGTGATAACAGCTTTAACTAGAGTGTGGAGCTGGCTATTGATGTGATATGCTTAAATGGACCAAATATTAATAAATACTTGGTAGATTAAAAATATTTTCTGGCTTCACCTTTCATACAGCTTGCTTAAAAAAATCTTAAAATGTATAGTGGAGAAACGTCTTTCTAATTTTATACAAACACAGTAAATCAGGAGCCTGACTATTGAAGTCAAAGGTGTAGCCTGTCCAACTGTTGAAAATGTTTCAGGTCCAAATCTTTAGATTGTCATTGATACGTCCTGGAAAATTAATTATTAGCTAGGTTTTATGCTGATCCAATAGCACAGATTGATACCTAGATACACCAGGTGAAGACTGTGAGAAGATGGGGTCCTGGCAGAAGAGTGTCTCTGAAATAACACTGTAGGGTCTTAGATGGTTTCCTTCTCAGCTGTTGTGGACACATCTTCGTCCTCTCAGAAATCCAGGAATGACTGCTTTTTCTCGCTGCTCCCGAGTGCCTCCTTCCACGGGAGCTGGGCTGCCCGCTTATGCTCCTCTGCACGGGGGCAATCTGCCCCCGCATCACCCCTGCTCCCGGGGCTCAGGGTGATACGCAGCCACCAAGGGGAAGGGCTGAGCCCCTTCTCTCCTGCCCCCAGAATGGGTGGAGGGATCGTCCCCGTCCCGGGCAGGCAAGCTGCCTCCCCCCACTGTCTGTTCAGGAAAGGGCTGGGGTTCATCTTTGCTCTTGTTTCACACCGTGGGAGCAGGACGGTCGAGAACCTCAGGGCGGCTTCTCTGAGGGAGCAGAGGAAAGCAGTGCAGCTCTGGGAATGACCTCGGTACCGTGGCGGGCAGGGGCATTTCAACGCTGGCGACGGGCAGAAGTAAAGAGAGGCTGAAGTGAGCTTAACTGCTCCAGTAAATCTGCTCTGCCCACCAGGAAAGTCCGTGTACATCGCTGTTCTGCAGGACCTGGTGAATTGCTGCCACATACCGGCTTTATTCTGCTACCAGACTGATACACAGGAGCGGAAATCGCTCTGCGCCAGCAGACTGCAACTAGCCAGGCGTTTTACCGACCACAGCAAGGTGATGCCTTCTCTGGGGTATTCACTAACAGCTGTACTACTTGCATGCGTTAACAGCAATAAACTAGACTTTTTGCAGGGACTGATGGTGAAACTCAGATGATTGATTTGCTCATGTTAACAAAGCAGCATGTGACTTTTCCTCTGGAGCTATCATATGGGATGAGCAGCAGGGGAAGTAAAATTTTTTCTGCAAGTTTATACACTGGTGACATATGCAGAGTACGGAAGCTGCCTTCAGAGCGCGCAATGTTTCATTTTCTGCTGTGTCTAAGAATATATATTAGTATAAAGGTCTACTGTGGAGAACGGTGGAAGGGACCTGCATTTGCAAATACAATATAGAGCAAATACCTTTCTAACTCCTTGGGAACATGGCAGCTCTGACAGATCCTGAGGTGAGTGTAGGGAGTACAGCACACGGCTCAGATTTGATGACTTGAAACCCCTCTCACTCAAGATGACAACATCACTTAGACTTTGTCTGCATAAAGATGTCCACTGTTATTCCTTCTATGTTCCATGGCCACAAATCGAATTGTTGTAGGGGATCTTTTGCTACATTTTTCATCAATGGAAGGTGGAACTGAAAGTGAACAGAGGATTCCTGCAACCACTACTGTTGCTTCAAATTTAGGATTTACAACTTCTGAACTGCTGTGAGATATAGGCCATGTCAGGCAGAAATAACATTTTATCTTTCAGGTGAATCAACCACCTCAGACAAAGAAAAACTAGGCATCTCAGTGGAAAAACATATATTTTCACATATAGAAAGGTTGACATAAATGTCTGAAAACATCTACTAAACCACCAAATTATTTAAAAGAGTTCCTAGAGAGCCTGCTGTCCATACCTTCTGTCCATATTACCGTGATGACGGTATATGAACATATAATTCTTACCACACTTTGTGCATTATGAAATAAACCAAATTGCAGCCTTGTGTATGCAAAGGTCATGAGAATGGAATAAAATAAATTACAGCCTTTGAATGCAAAGGATCAGAGAATAGAGCCTGGAGAAACTCAGGAATGGTCAACACCTGAGAAATCTGAGCTATCTCTGAGTATTATATGGGCTGAATACAATCCCTGAACATTTTCAAGAAATCATAGCTGGCAAAGAAAAAGAAATATTTTTGTCTTTTCCAATGCTTCTGAAAGCTGACCAATTCTACTTTTTTTGACTGTAGCCTCACAAATCCTTGCCAACACATAAAAAAAAGAAGTCATTGATGAAATAACGTAAGACAGTTAATCTGTTGGCAAGGTTAGCAGTGTACTGTGTCGGCAATGTTTTCTGACTGTGGGAAATACACGTTGCCTTACCCAGGAATTCCACCTGACTCGAGTTTGTTTGCGATATCCACGTCCCATGACCAGACATCAAACTGCCACTTTCGCAGGCCCAGCACTCCACAAAGAACTGATCCCGAATGTATCCCTATCCTCATGTCAATGTCATGCTTCGTTCTTGACCTAACGTACCTGTTAAAACAAAAGAAAACAAAAAAAAAAAAGAAAAAGAAAAAAGAAAAGACCAGACACATGAAAGTATATGTCACAGTTTTTTATATCTTTTAGAAAAGGGTATGATGTAAAATACAATGTCAATTTGTTATAACCAACAATTCAGTCTCTAAAATGAAAAGGTAACTTTCTAGGTAGCAAAGTACAGGTGGTGATAAAATGACTCTAAAAGCCAGATTATCATTAAGTGCTTAATTGCATTCATGGTTCAGTAGCACACCTATTATTCCTATCAGACAGAAAGAGAAAGATAGGAGAGAAATAGGTGTCTGAGTGAAAGGACTTTGTTGGATTCATTGAGTCCTTTAGCTTGGAATTGTGAAAAAGCATTGAACAACATTACAAAAACATTACATTATTATCCTCAAACCTGCCTATACTTTCATACTCTATTCTACTTTATTGACTCACATTTTCCAGAGTTACTCTTTGTCCAAAGGTGAATTATTTTCAGTAGATTTGGCCAGAACACCATTTGCTCTGTTATGATAATGGTATGACTCTAAAATCAGTTTCTTCCATTCTGTGTGACAGCAAAGACCATTTAATCTCTCAAAAGTAAACACATGTGGGCATATTTGTCAACAGTCTCAGAAAAGGGACTTTGTCCCAGCACTGTTTTAAATTAATATGTCTATTGATTATAAAGGCAATTTTACTGTGTTGAAATAGTATCTTCCTCTTCTGATATGAGACAACATATATCGTTCACAGCCACAGGCACCTTAGTAGTGCCTTAGACCAGGACTGCTTCTTCCAAATCAGTATTGAGATACTCCAGCACGTCACCGTGGGAAGCTCACAACTAACATAATTGAGCTGTATCCATTGGGATGACAAAGAGAGCACTTTTCCAGTTCTGCATGTGTGACAACAATTATATGCACCAGAAATACTATTAGAGCTGGTGTTCATTAATATTTGAATAGCGCGCTCGGGGTAGGAAAAATGCATTGCTACTCTTGGTCTACAAACAAGACTGCTGTTTCTCTGTAAAGAGTCCCAGTTCTACGGTCACTGAAGTAAATAGCAACACAGCAAGATCACACAACAGAGCAGGCGAAGATTAATCAGCTCTATTTCACAACTCTGAAGTTAACTACTGTTTCCTCAGATGCCTCAGTCATGACCTTGACAGCCCCTTTCTAGAGGAGAGAAGGGTAAATTGCTTACTGCATTCAATACTTGGCCTTTCATTGTTGCAATGGGGCATCAATTCAATTTGTGGCCAAAAAAAAAAAAAAAAAGGAGAGTCTTAAAATGGAGAGAAACTGGTCATACAAAAATGTGAGGAATTGAAAATAAGCAATTCATCTTTTTCCCTTTCCTGCATATTCTGAAACCTTCAAGAAAAGCATGCATAAGTCCCAGTGCAGTGGTCTGCCCACAACAAAATCTGTTCATCATATCATGAAGCTAACATATTTCAGATAGCTAAGAGGAATAGATTTTTAAAAGTTAATCATAAAATAACAAAAAAGAAGCTTTGAGAAAGGATTTGTTTGCATTCTAATACTCCAAGTTTATAGGTTTCATTTACAAATTTATTGGTTTGCAAGCAAGAGGGCTTGAAATATCAAAATTAAACAATCACCTGTGTCTGGTAGATAGAACACGGAAAACAACTTCCCCACACTGAAGTAGCATCTTAAATGTTTTGAGAACAGCTAAGAGAAGTGAAAGCACTGTAATTTGTAATGTGTTTTGAAGAATATTTATAGATATGTTACAAAAATATCTAAACTCACATTCGTAACTGTCAGAGGAATTATCACACAACTCCCCACATGATCGTTTCCCCAGTCTGCCTTTTTCCTTTTGTTCAGACTAAGATAATTATTTCTCATTTTATGTCTAATTTCCTTATCTTGAACTAAAAAGCTAATTGGATCCAGAGTAATAATTGAGCAAAAAGATTTTCACTGAAAAATGCACACAATAAGAGGACCTTAAGTTTAATAAAATGGACTAATAACATATATTTATGTAATCTCTCTCTCTATGTATATATACACACGCTCCATTAGACTAATTTAGATTTTAATTACTATAGTAGTTAATTGCTAATAAGTACTAGTATTTAATATTGGACAAATACTAACACTGGGCAATCATCAATGGCATGGAATGTACCATGTCCAAATGCCAAAAGAATAACACCGGGCATAAGTTTAAATTGTGAGAGAAGAGTCTGGGGAGCAGCCCTGCAGAAAGGGGCCTGGGGGTGCTGGTCGGCAGCAGGCTCAACCGGAGCCAGCGGTGTGCCCGGGCAGCCAAGAGGGCAAACCGCATCCTGGGGGGCATCAAACACAGCATGGCCAGCTGGTCAAAAAAGATTGTTATCCTACTGTATTCAGCGTTGGTGCAGCCTCACCGTGAGTGCTGTGTGCAGTTCTGGGCCCCACAATTTAAGAAGGATGTGAACGTCCTTGAATGGGTCCAGAGGAGGGCAACAAAGGTGGTGGAAGGTCTGGAAGGAATGTCTTATGGGGAGCGGCTAAGGACTTTGGCCTTGACTAGTCTGGAGAAAAGGAGCCTGAGTGGCAACTTCATTGCTCTCTGCACCTTCCTGAAGAGGGGAAGTGGACAGGGAGGTGCTGATCTCTTCTCCTTGGTATCCAGTGATAGGACATGTGTGAACGGTTCAAAGCTTCACCAGGGGAGGTTTAGACTGGACACTAGTAAACATTTCTTTACCAAGAGTGTGGTCAAACACTGGAACAGGCTCCCTAGAGAGGTGGTCGATGCCTCAAGCCTGTCAGTGTTTAAGAAGCAGGCCAGCTGGTCAAAAAAGATTGTTATCCTACTGTATTCAGCGTTGGTGCAGCCTCACCGTGAGTGCTGTGTGCAGTTCTGGGCCCCACAGTTTAAGAAGGATGTGAACGTCCTTGAATGGGTCCAGAGGAGGGCAACAAAGGTGGTGGAAGGTCTGGAAGGAATGTCTTATGGGGAGCGGCTAAGGACTTTGGCCTTGACTAGTCTGGAGAAAAGGAGCCTGAGTGGCAACTTCATTGCTCTCTGCACCTTCCTGAAGAGGGGAAGTGGACAGGGAGGTGCTGATCTCTTCTCCTTGGTATCCAGTGATAGGACATGTGTGAACGGTTCAAAGCTTCACCAGGGGAGGTTTAGACTGGACACTAGTAAACATTTCTTTACCAAGAGTGTGGTCAAACACTGGAACAGGCTCCCTAGAGAGGTGGTCGATGCCTCAAGCCTGTCAGTGTTTAAGAAGCATTTGGACAATGCCCTTAACAACACGCTTTAATTTGGTCATCTCTGAATTGGTCAGGCAAGTAGTGATCATTGTAGATCCCTTCCAACTGAAATATCCTATCCTATCCTATGCTATCCTATGCTATCCTATCCTATGCTATCCTATGCTATGCTATCCTATCCTATGCTATCCTATGCTATCCTATGCTATCCTATGCTATCCTATGCTATCCTATCCTATCCTATCCTATCCTATCCTATCCTATCCTATCCTATCCTATCCTATCCTATCCTATCCTATCCTATCCTATCCTATCCTATCCTATCCTATCCTATCCTATCCTATGCTATCCTATGTTATGCTATCCTATCCCATCCTATCCTATTCTTCTGTTCTGTTCTGTTCTAAATCTAATTTTAAATACTGTAAATTATAGTCATATATTTGTACCCTATATGGGAACAGAGATCTCACTGGAGAGACCAGGTACAAATGATAGTTCAGCTGAGCAATGCATCCGTCTTTTCCAGAGTGTTCACCAAGGATTGCTGGACTTTGACTTTCCTTTGTCATAAAAATGTGGTGATGGCCTGAAAAGGCTTCAGCATCTTCAATCAGCCACACAGGATTTCTGCATTTGTTCAAAACTTCACGTAGCTGTGCTGTCCACCTCGCCTCCTGCAGGACACTGCAGACTCTAATCAAGGTCCTATCCCCCTTGTCTCATCTGTTGTCTTTCACAGCCTCCCAGCAGCTTCTTCCTGTGAGCTGCTCAGGTGATATTTGATCTCGGCTCTTCATCCGCAGTCAGTGCGGATTTGGCTACCTGCCTGCATCCTCTGACTGAGGGCTCTTCTGTTTCGCTGCCTGCTGCCGTGCCGGTGCACCTGCGGGGCCCTGTCTTCACATCCTCCTCTTACTCGCCCTTGGCAGCAATGTGCTCTTACGTTGATAGGCAGGGAAGTAATTGCACGAGGGGACCTGACTGAATCGAGCCACAGGCAGTCGGAGGTATTTTTAAACAGACCCCGTCCGGAACGTGAATCAAAGCACAACAGCGTTCTAGTCTTGCTCCCATTGCTTCCTTATTTGCAGCACAGGACTGAGAGCAGAGCTGTTGAGAACCTGTTTGTGGAGACATTAGTTTTCACTAAGCTTTTGTTGTAAGCTTTTGAATTGAATGAAGAATAAATGGCTGTAGTTTAAAAGTGAGGTGATTGATTAGTATGTAAAAAGCCATGAAATTACTGTTTTTCTTTAAAAATTTGGAGTGATGTGGGGTGAAAGAGATTTCTGAATTATCTAGAGAAGGGCACTTTATCATGCTCAAACACAACTCCCTAACAGCCAGAGATACTTTAGGAGGCCTTGTTTATATACTGCTGTAGGAAAAAAAACAATTAAATACTTTGAAACAATGAACCCTGGATCATCTTCATCAATAGGAGTAGTTCTCATTTATTCAGAAAAAAATTCTCATAAATAATAGCATGTACTAGATACTGAACAAATGGAGAGTGTTCATTTTGCATGAGTTCAGGTGTTCCACAGCTTTTAGTTCTTCTGTCTTTTAAAATTTTTCAACCGTCAACGGAGCCTCTAATTAAAAAATAATTATTTGCTTCAACTGCTTTACAAGCTCTCTGAAAATCCTTTGACAAAGCGCATGCATGAAGCTGCATTATTGATGATCTATAAAGCAGTCCTGTTTACCTCACAAGCTGTCTGATATCTTTTCCAGGTT